TCATTGAGACCATTAATGGACCGATTAATTTGTTATCTGTAGCAGCTACACGACCTTCACCCGGTGTTCATTCTTATCCCAATGGTGATAAATATCATCGTGCTTGTTTATACATACATTATGCAAGAGCTAAATCTGTCTATTGCAGGTATTTCTTTAGGCCCGAAATGTTATATAAATTATTAATTAGACATTAACAAACAGGGGCGGATTGGGCCATCGGGGCGATCGCCCGAAGGGCCGGTCGGACAAAAAATGAAAAAAAATAATTTTGTTCAATTCGTCTAAAAAGCCTTTTTCTGATGAACATTATATGGGGTGGGGTGGGGTGGGTGTAGGGTATTGGACTGACCATGGAGCAATTTTGATCATGTTGTATGTGGCCGGTGGCTTTAACGGGTCGCCATGCCATCACTGGAGTCTGGAATTGGCTTGGATAATAAACTTTCTGGGCCGGATGTGCTGGGTGTAGGCTGAAATTCGGAATTTTAACCATTTAAATTCTGTTGACTCTTGACGATACAATGATTAATACGTTAATTAATAATCTGACGATATGATAATTTCACAGGTTGATGGTTGTAAATTACTTGCAGGTCGGGGTTTTGGCCTAAATTAATCGATTTATGAGATATATTATTTGACAGAGAGTATAATTATAATCAGATATGCCACCAAAACGCATATTTGGGGTTTATTTTTCAAAATTTTCCAAGGGGAGAGTCCCCTGACCCCCTGTCAGAGCTCCGCGTCAGTAAAAGGAGTCGCTCCGACACGGGAGCCCAGGCCGGTTCCCGGCCCCAATCCGCCCCTGTTAACAAAACAAGACCATAATCAACTCTGGATGTCATTGGATACTCAAGATTTTAATTTGATTTAAAAATGGTTAGCTACATGTAGTGATCTCTAACAAATGAAATAAACAATAACATACGATCAAACTATTTCCGTTGCCAGTCTTTAAATCAAGTGTTTGCTCAACCGGGTCTATATTGTAAAATTCTAGACTTTTAAAAAGAGCGGGGGGGCCACGGTGACTAAGTGGGTAAGACGCTGGCTCGTTAGCCAGGAGGTCGGGTGTTCAATCCTTGCATTGGCCAAGCAAGTGCATCCAGATATTCTGACGTGATTCCCCTTGTCAGTGATGCAGGACAGAGGGCCTGACAAGTACACATTGGCATGCACGTAAAAGATCCATTGAGTTGGCCGTAGTGCCGCTGATTGGACAAAATTTCCCTCATAGCACACTGGGAGGAAATCGGAGGATCCGGAGAAAACCCACAAGGTTTGACAGGCGACTCTACTCCTTGTCACGTACAACCAGGGAATCGAAACCACGCCAGTTGACTCAATGACAGACCTTATGATGCAGTGCGAACACGCTAACCATTCGGCCATCCAACCCCTTACAATGAGTAGAAAACAGTAATAGACTTTCTGGAAATTCGTTGGAACTAGATATTGATGCGCACCTGCCCTTTTCATCATTAACAAACATTGTGGAATATGTATTACATGCTTTGCCACTATTTGCGTAAGTGGGGGTGGGAGTAATTTTTACAGGAAGTTACAGTCCGATGTCCACTGAATTTGTACTCATCGACAATTATTGCCTAACAAATTTAAATATTTTAACGTTAATCAAAATCAAATAAATATTGTGAATTTATTCTGCTTCCATTTAATAAAATTGAAAAGTTGTCTTTATGTGTATGATAGATGTGAAACGGAGTAGAACCGCATTACAAAACCGTATACTAATTTTTGGATATGGCGGTCATTTAGGACAGAGATTTATTCTCGAAGTATGAAGTAGATGGTCTATGTGTGCAGAATGGCCCAGCACAGTCTTTATACTTCTTGTGTTAAGAGGTTGTTCTCCAGCTGTTATCTGTCGAGCTTGGGGTTTCTTCAGGACCTGAAATCCTCTACGCTACTCTTCTATATTGTTGTTGTTTTTTTTAAACTGGGCCCTAGATAGGTCATACATATTCCAGGTATCTAATGAAAACATTGGTCACCTACAGTTCTGTCTACCAGGGCTATCAATGTAGGTATCCTCGAAGGAAATAGCATATCAGGGACTCTAGATTCAAAACATTTTCCGAGGGAGGATGCCCCGGGTCCCCCTAGAAATGTTGCACCTGTCATGGTCGGCTTGTGGCTGTGTCACTCGTATTATGGGCCTGTGCATCAGTCGGTCTCATATTTACCTACCCCCCCCACCCCCCAAACAAAATCAATATGTACGCCCTGTTCCTGTTGATAATAGAGAGAGAGACAAATGGGGTTTAACAGCCACTAGAGCATTTCGGGACTAACATATGGTCTACTTTTATTTCAATAATTCGCTTGCGCATAGGGGTCTTTAGCAGTGGGAGGAAACCGAACGACCCGGAGAAAACCATGAGGTTGGACAGGCGACCCTACTCCTTGTCCCGTACAAACGAGGATTCGTAACCACGCCAGTTGACTAAATGACAGGCCTTATGGTACAGTAGGGTGTTGAAGAAAATTTCATTTCATTTCTGGGAAATATGCCATTAAAATAGCTGTAGAAATAGGATTGTAAACAATTAATAAAGGGGTGCAAGAGTTCATATACAACAACATTCCTCCATCAAAGGGAATTAAGCGCTGAGTTATCTAAAATATACCATGTAAGAATTAGGCGATGTATAATAAATATTTATCTGGGATAATTGGGTTTAACGGGGCACAAATTCGCCTGGGGGCGAAAAACATTTGTGAGGTCATACTGGTTAATTTGATACCACATATGTGGGGGCATACTCCTCGCAGTGTTTCATTTGATTAGAGCTAATTCCACTAAACACTGCTTTAATGGAAGCAAATTTCTGTTCCAAATTATGACTGGTCAATAGTCCGATTAACAACGAATAGCTAACTGCGTAACAATATTGTTACATTTTAAACAAAGCTCCAAATTGGACCAAATATGTTTACATCACGTTACGTCATGACTCACAATTTTATTATGCCCAATTAACCATTGCAAAGCAGAATATTGCAGAAAAAATAATTGCGTGACAAACGAGGCTATCAACACGAATACAATGTAAACAATACTGTATGGAGACGAAGAATACTTTCACCGTTTTTAATACCTTAAATCACTGTCCAAAATTTTAGGCAAGACCCGCATTAAACAAGAGAGAGAGAGAAATGGGGTTTAACGTCCACTCGACACAAACTAGGTCATTTCGGGACTAACACATGGTTCAATTTTATTCAATAATTCGCTTGCACGTAGTGGTCTTTAGCAGTGGGAGGAAACCGGACGACCCGGAGAAAACCCACAGTGTTGGACAGGCAACCCTACTCCTCGTCACGTACTAAGGGGAATCGAAACCCCGCCAGTTGACTCAATGACAGACCGTATGATACAGCGCGCGTGTGCTAACCATTCGGCCATACACCCCCCCCCCACATTAAACAAAGGGCTGTCATGTTGCTGTAGGGGGTAGATTATAGCAACATAGATACATATACATGTATACACATCTTTGATTTTATTTATATAGATATATGTACGTCTACATGTCTAAATTCTATAGAAAACTATATGATGCTCAGCTGTTATATATTTGTTCACTATAGAAAACTATATGATGCTCAGCTGTTATACATGTATGTTTCTTCACTATAGAAAACTATATGATGCTAAGCTGTTATATGTTTCTTCAGTTTAGAAAACTAACACATGAGACAATGTACTTTCAAGTAAATGTAACTTGTATTCCATATAATTGTGTCATGAGTTATTCTTATTCAGTTACTACATGTAAATGCCACTTAAACAATTTATAAAAAAAACTAGTTTTTACAACCAAATCTATAGCAGTACAGTATTTCTATAAAATTCTACAGAGAGTGAGTGAGAGAGAGAGAGAGATGGGTTTAACTCCACTCGACACAAACTATGTCATTTCAGGACTAACACATGGTTCAATTTTATTTCAATAATTCGCTTGCGCGTAGGGGTCTTTAGCTGTCGGAGGACCCGGAGAAAACCCACAAGGTTGGACAGGCGACCCTACTCCTTGTCACGTACAACTGGGGAATCGAAACCCCGCCAGTTGACTCAATGACAGACCTTATGATACAGCGCACACGTGCTGACCATTCAGCCATCCAACCCCCCCTAGAATTCTATAGACAATTAATTAAACCTATCCTACATAATTCTATAATAGTACAGTATATCTATAGAATTCTACAGCTTGGCAGTATTTCTATAGAAGTCTATAGGCAATTACAGCCTAGTCAACAGATTATCTACATGTAGCGTTGGTATTTTGACTTTGTTTTCTTAAAGCAGGTGGATTATGAATTGTTTTATAGCTATATGTACATCTGCTTATTTCAGGTCTTTATTTTGGCTTCAAACGTTACATAAAAAACTAATATTTAGACATATATTCACATGATAAAGTATCATAAAGTTTGTCATTGAGTCAACTGGCGTGGTTCCGATTCCCCGGTTGTACGTGACAAGGAGTAGGGTCGCCTGTCTAACCTCGTGGGTTTTCTCCGGGTCCTCCGGTTTCCTCCCACTGCTAAAGACCCCTACGCACAAGCGAATTATGGAAATAAAATTGAACAATATGTTAGTCCCGAAATGACCTAGTTTGTGTCGAGTGGATGTTAAACCCCATTTCTCTCTCTCTCTCTGAGTTGATTGCCATCATATTTATAATGTTCGCTCAGTATGCAGTTTCAGTCAATCTGTTTCACAAGGATTACGAAAGTCTTCTAATATCTCTGTAAAAGATGACTACCTTCAACACGTGATGTCTCATCATGTGGCATCAATCATTGGCTCAATGGCGCGTGCATTGTTTATATAAGACCTTACTGGTTCGAGCGGAATGGACGCTTTCACTCATTTTAATACCAATTTACACTAAATAGGAAATAATTTTTACCTACAAATACGTCCAATGTCTTTATTTATTTTTCTAATATATAAAAAAATGTTTTAGAATTTAATTTGTCGGAGGAAAAAGGTTAATATTTGTGACTCATTAAGTGGCATTGATATCATTCTTATCAGTGATTGTTGGGGCCTAGTGAATATTCACTGCTGATCAGTGTGAGTTTCAGTACGTCCATCATATTTATAATGTTCCCTCAGTATGCAGTTTCATATGTCTGAGTTGATTCCCTTGGTCATTAAACTGCTGATAAGTGTGAGTTTCAGTACGTCCATCGTATTTATAAAGTTCCCTCAGTATGCAGTTTCATATGTCTGAGTTGATTCCCTTGGTCATTAAACGGCTTACCACAAATATTACATTCAAACGGCTTCTCCCCGGTGTGGGTTCTCATGTGTGTCTGTAAATTATTTCTCTGGCTAAAATATTTTCCGCAGACACCACAACCGTATGGTTTTTCGTCCGAATGGATTCGCGAATGCTCCCGTAGATAACCGTGACTTGTGAATGATTTACCACAAACATCACATATGAAGGGCTTTTCGCCGGTGTGAGTTCGGGTGTGTTCTTTAAGGTAGCCATTCCTGGTGAATGCCTTATCACATATATTACACTTGAAAGGTTTTTCTCCCGAATGGGACTTAATGTGCCTTTGTTGATTCCGTTTGTCCATGAACGTTTTTAAACAAATGTAGCATTCGTAAGGTCTTTCACCGGTGTGCGTCCTGACATGTGTCTTAAGACTGCTGTTCTCGCTGAAGGATTTCCCACAAACGTTACATTTAAACGGTTTGATACCGGTATGAATCCTAGCATGAGTCTGTAATTCATTACCCTGAACAAATGATTTACCACAAACATCACATTTATATGGTTTCACACCGGTATGAGTTCTTGTATGTCTGAGAAAATTTCCTTTGTCAATAAATGATTTACTACAAACATCACATTGAAACGGCCGCTCTCCCGTATGACTTCTCATGTGTGTAAGGAGAGTACCCTTTGCCGCAAAGGCCTTATGACAAACTCCACACTCAAAAGGTTTTTCACCCGAATGCGTTAAATTATGTTGATACAAACCCGCATGATCGGTGAATGATTTGTCACAAACATCACAGCTAAAAGGTTTTTCGCCTGGATGAAGTCGTAAATGTTTCTGGAGGTGATGTTTTTTATTGAATGGTTTTCCGCAGACATCGCAGACGAAAGGTTTTTCACCCGTATGGATACTAGCATGGGCCTTGAGGTTACTGTTTCTATTAAATCTCTTACCACAGACATCACATTTAAATTTACGCAAACCTTTAAACTCTGCTTCAAACCCCTTTTCACAAACAAAGACCTGTTTAACAGTTATTTCACAAGGTTCCTGTAAGTCTGTGCCATATCCAATTGGGTCATTGTTCAAATTACTCTGTAAATCTGTGCCGTATTCAATTGGGTCATTGTTCAAATTACTCTGTAAATCTGTGCCGTATTCAATTGACTCATTGTTCAAATTACTCTGTAAATCTGTGCTGTATCCAATTGGTTCATTATTCAAGCTATTCTGGAAAATTTTAACATCATCGGTGTTCTCTTCTTCAAAATGTACCTGACAATTTTCATCTAGATCATCAATTTTTTCTTCTTTAACATGTATTTTGAGGTGAGTTTGTAAGTCATCATACTTTTGAAAAGGCTTGTGACATACCGTACACTGAAGATCTATCGTAGCCTCATTATTAGTGTCCTGTAATATATAAAAGTTTATAACATCATTAGTTTCCTGTAATATTTAAAAGTTATAAAATTGTTAGTTTCCTGTAATATATAAAAGTTATAACATCATCAGTTTCCTGTAATATATAAAAGTTTATAACATCATTAATGTCCTGTAATATACATGTATCAATGTTATAACTATATCCTCATTAGTTTAAAGTGGTATTTAAACATGCATTATGCAAGAGCAAAATCTGCTTATTACAAGTCTTTCTTTAGGCCTGAAATGTTATCTAAATTATCAATTAGACATTAATTAACTTATCCAGACCATAATCAACTCTCGATGTCAAGGCTAGCCTTCGATGTTGGCTGGATTAGATTCCTATATGCAGCCAACGGCCATTGGTAATTAAATAAAAAAAAAAGTGGATAATCGAGACTATGCTGTTTATATTAATGATTTTAGTAATGATGACCGAGACTATGCAAAAATTTCACCTGCTTCTTTCTCGGCTCATAGTGGATCAATTTGACTGATATTTTCAGCAAATTACCTTTACACTATCTAGTTTTTAACTATTATAGCGAGAACTGCCATCTCTTTATCTTATCTCCCATAATGTATCTTTAAGTATTATGGAAAATTAGATAAAGAGATGACAGTTCTCGCTATAATACATGTAGTTAAAAAATAAATAATGTAAAGGGAATATGCTGAACATTCCAGTCATTTTACTTCATTCTGAGCCAAGAAATTCTAATTTTCGAAAGACATGCAATAGGCAGATTTAGCTCTGACATAATGTATGTTTAATGTTATTTTTTAAAAGTTTACGGCACAAGAAGTCTGGACCAATGGTGAATACCGGGTAGGATTAGGCGGATTATCATCGTGGTAATCCATTAAATACCCTGGACAGACTTCACTAAAAGTGAGCAGATTAGACAGAGATTCGCGCATGTGCAGGAGTAATCTGTCCGCGAGGTGAAATATCCGCTCAACATAATACATTCATAATACATTATTACATGTGTTGCAACCCATTTGTGTCCATTTTTAGGAGCCAAAGAATAGTGATTTACCTCCTTTAACTTCGTGAGCACATTTTAGTAAATGGAAATTAGACAGAGATATGCACAAGGTTAATCTAGCCTTGAAGTGAAATCTGTGCGCAACAGCTTGTTCATAATCAAAGATTGAAAGAAATCTGTTGAAAATTTATGACAGTTCAGACTGAGACAGTGGTCTAAGGTTAAACCTTTTTCATGATGTCTAATAATACTCATTAATGAATTAAAAACAAAAATAATCTCACCATGTTTGCTCAACTGGCGCTAAAATTCTCTATCTTTGGATTCAGAAGTTCAAGTTGCTGGGCTGGACTGCTTGTGGTAAACACGACACAACACGAGGTTTCGGTCGGTCTGCCAGGAATTAGACGTCTCTTTTCTGGTAATCTCTTTTCTTGGCTTCCTGTCTTCGATAGATTAATTATCAAGAGAAATAAATAAAGGACTGTTTCTCAGTTTGAATGTATAATAATTTGAATATCAAAACAATATTAAGAAACAAATAGACGACTATTCAAATTGAAAAATTGCCTTTTGTTCCATTTTCTAAAGCCATTTCCGGTTCGGCATGTTTATTTAGGTTGTATCTAAATAAACGACGTAGATCCACCCAGCACGAATAAGTCACTTAACCATATAACTTAACAAACATGCACGGTATTTTTAGTCAGCGTATCAATAGAAATTGAAATAGTGTTATTAAGTTTTTAATTATGGCGAGCTTGGGTGTGGCCAAGGAAATAGAATTATACTCCCAGAGAAAGGATGTATCTTCTTAGACTTACGGGTGTAGGGGACAGGTGGAGGATGGGGATATTTGTTCTGTATCTCGAATCAGCACAGGATTGTCAAGAATTGTAAAACTAGTTTTATATGAGAATTAATTGTACATACAATATGCTAGCCTACACTGTACACTGTTCACCCATGGCTCATTTTTTACACTATTAGTGAACAAATATGGTAGGCCTATTGGGTGGGGAGGGGGGGGTGCAGGGATATTTGAAAACTTGGACAAAAGACCACTCTGACCAATCAGGGGCGTGCTGGCAGGGAGTTGAGGAGGACAGTGTCCTCCCAGGCCCCCATTAAACAATAAGTCCACCCGTATAAGCGGGCCCCCCTGAGAGCTCTAATTTTCACGCGGAATCCCCTCAAAAAATTGAGAGTGCACGCGCGAAAAATCATACATACACAACGATTAGTAAAATATATTATGCTGACGTGCAAATGTCTGTCACCTTAAGGTGAAATGGTCTTTGATACATGTATTCATGCCTCGATATGTATAAGATGCAATTTATTATTTGGATAGAAATACATTGTATTAGCATTATATTAAGCAGACCTGTCATGAGTGTCTTGTGTAGTACAGTAGTATGTCTTATAGTCAAAATAGCAGCATAAATTTGGAAAATATGATACCTAGATTTCTCCCAGAAGTGCTTGCAAAACGCGTTTCCCGTTGTCAAATTTTAAAAATTCGGGGCCCGTCCTCCCGGGCCCCTTCAGGGCCAGCACGCCCCTGTGACCAATTGATAGATCACTAGGACAGAAAAAAAAGATTACTTGATCCAAGACATGGACTAATATGTTTTTGAAAAAATTAAGTGTTGTTATTAATTCTTATGTAGGCTACTTAGGCCTACCCATGTTATAATTTTTAAGCTAGTCAAATTGATGAAGCACAATTTAAAGGGAGAGAGAGAGAGAGAGATGGGGTTTAACGTCCACTCGACACAAACTAGGTCTGTCACTGAGCCAACAGGCATGGTTTCGTGGGCAAGACGCTGGTTCGATTCCGCAGTTGTACATGACAAGGAGTTGGCTCGCCTGTCCAACCTGGTGGGTTTTCTCTGGGTCCTCCGGTTTCCTCCCACTGCTAAAGACCCCTACGCATAAGCGATTTATTGAAAGAAAATTGAATATATGTTAATCCTGAAATGACCTAGTTTGTATCAAGTGGAGGTTAAACCCCATTTCTCTCTCTTCCTCTCGCTCTCTTCCCCGCCCCCAATGTCGGAGACACACTGATCAGCAGTGAATATTCGCTTGGTCACTACAATCACTGATAGGGATGATAACGCTACGGCTTAATGAGCCCCAAATATTAATTTTTTTTCTTCTGCAAATTCAATTCTAGAACATTTTTTTAAGCATCAGAAAAATAAAAAAAGGTGTTTGAAGTATATGTAGGTAAAAAGAAATGTATTTAACCAGTTCTATCACATATTTTATAATGACTGACACCAATATTGTCCTTTAATCTAAAATTGGTGAAACGCGGCCAGTCCTCGGACAACCAGGTCAGTGGTTACAATCAGTGCACACATCTTGTCACACTGATCAGCAGTGAATATTCGCTAGGCTGCTACAATCACTAATAGGGATGACATCAATGCGGCTTAATGAGCTCTAAATATGAACTTTTTTCCTTCTGCAAATTAAATTCTAGAACATTTTTTTAAGCATTAGAAAAATAAATAAATGTGTTCGATGTATGTGTAAGTAAAAATTATGTCCTATGTAGTGTAAATGAGTATGTAAAATGAGTAAAAGGCACCATTCTGCCCGGACCAGTAACATCTTATGTAAACAATGCACGCGCCATTGAGATAATGATTGACACCTTGTGATATGACGTCACATGTTGAAAACAGCCACCTTTCACAGAGTTATTAGAAGACTTTTGTAATCCTCTGTGAAACAGATTGTGTCAGGGAGCCTGGCAAAGAACAATGTATAGTCATTCCGATGGGACAAAAAAAACAAGGTCCCATGTACACGTTGGCGTGCATGTAAAAGAACCCTTGACAGTGGGAATTCGAAAGAAAAGTAGCCCATAATGCCACTGTCTGGACAAAATTTTCCTCATGCCCAGTCTGTGCCGAACAGTAGGACCTTATAAACACCATTTTATTTATTTGATGTAACAAAAAGTTTTCTTTTCTCACATATAACTCCATATTAAACTTAGGCTGTCTGTCTACAGTTACAAATGTAGCTCCATTTCAGAACAGGCAGAAAGTTAGTTGACTGACATTTAAGTCCTAAATCGAAGATTTTAGTCGAAAACACTAAGTAAACATGTACTTCGATAGATGTATTTATTTTTCTTCCATTCAATTAAATTGAAAATGTTTATTTAATCGTTGTGTCATGGACTTTATATGGTCGTGTGTATGACAGATGTGAAACGGAGTAGAACCACATAACATAACAATATACTAATTTTTGGATATGACGGGCCATTCAGGGCACAGAGAGAGAGAGAGAAATGGGGTTTAACGTACACTCGACACAAATTAGGTCATTTCGGGACTAACATATGGTTTAATTTTATTTCAATAATTCGCTTGCGCGTAGGGGTCTTTAGCAGTGGGAGGAAACCGGAGGACCTAGAGAAAACCCACGAGGTTGGACAGGCGACCCTACTCCTTGTCACGTACAACCGGGGATTCGAAACCACGCCAGTCGACTCAATGACAGACTTTATGATACAGCGCGCGCATGCTAACCATTCAGCCATCCAACCCCCACATTCAGGACAGAGATCTATTCTCGAAGTATGAAGTAGATGGTACATGCATAACCAAATTCAGTAATTGATCAATTTATTCTTGTTATACTGGATTAAATATCTTTATTATTAATCAATTTTACAATTATTTACAGTAAACATTGTGTATATACTGATATACTGTAACTTCAAGGAAGACGTGGTGGCTTCATAACCTACAAAGTTCCTTGGTATCCTCTCATGGGTTTCCCCTTGTCTGTGGTGAAGGACAAAAAACATGGACAGTGTGTAGTGGTTTCGATACGATGAAAAAAGAACCCTTGACAGTTTGAATTCGATACAAGAGTAGGCTGTAGCACTGCTGTCCGGGCAAATTTCCCTCTTGCCACACTGTACGGTGTACTTGTATACCCATGGCATGGTTTCCCCCTTGTCACTGGTGCAGAGAAGAGTAGATGGTAACGTCGCTGTATGCCTGGGCCCTTATTCACGAAAACTTAAACTAAGTTACAACCGAAATTTAAAGAAATACTGCAACTTCATTGGATATATGCAAATTGATTTTACTGGTCAGCCAATCGAATTGCAGTATTTCTTAAAATTTCGATTGTATCTTAGTTTAAGTTTTCATGAATAAGGGCCCTGTTTTCGTTATCCCAGTTGGTAAATCCCATTTCAATTCCCAAGTTTGATCACATAAATTCGTAATTTGTTTCTTCCGTATGTAGTTTTAAGTGTCTAATCTGATTTCCTTTATCGTTAAAAATTTTACCACAAACATCACACTTAAAAGGTTTTTCACCCGTATGGGTTCTCCTGTGTCGCTGATAATTACCCTTGGCATTAAACAATTTATCACAAACATCACACTTATACGGTTTTTCACCTGTGTGAGTCCTGAGATGTATCTGAAGTCCACGGTTGTCATTATAAGACTTAGGACAAAGACCACATTTGTATGGTTTCTCGCCGGTATGGGTTCTAATGTGTATCTGAAGATCACTACTCTGACAAAATGCTTTCCCACACAGCCCACACTCATAGGGTTTTTCCCCTGTGTGGGTTTTTCCATGTTTTAACAAATTACCTTTGTCATTAAATGATTTACCACAAGTATTACATTTGTGAGGTTTTTGACCTGTATGAATTATCAGGTGTCGTTTGAGAATACAGCTTTCACGGTATGATTTACCACAAACATCACATCTATAAGGTTTTTCACCCGTATGGGATTTCATATGGTTCTGTAGATGATGTTTTTTATTAAAAGGTTTGTCACATACTTCACACTTAAATGGTTTCTCCCCGGAGTGAGTTGAGACATGTGCTTTTAGATTACTGCTTCTATTGAAAACTTTCCCGCATACATCACAATGGAATGTTTTCTTCAGTCGTTTTTTAGTGGGAACCTCAGGCGTATTATTTGGCGTATTTTTCTCAGAAGTTTTGTTTTGAGTCATCTCTTCAAAATACATATTATAATTTTGATCGAGGTCAGATTGATGTCCGTTTTCTTCTTTAACATGGACTCTATTGTGGTTTTCTAAATCATCATATTGTTGAAAAATACTGTCACAAACCATACACTTATGAACAGTTACATCAACTTGAGGTTCCTGTAATATATAAAAGTTATAACAACATATAAGTTTCCTGTAATATATAAAAGTTATATGAAATGAAATGAAATGGGGTTTAACGTCATACTGTTCTGCTCCGACTGGGCTAATGAAGACGGCTACAAGTTATAACATCAATAGTATTCTGTAATATATAAAAGTTATAACATCATTAGTTTCCTGTAATATATAAAAGTTATAACATCATTAGTTTCCTGTAATATATCAAGTTATAACATCATTAGTTTCCTGCAATATATAAAAGTTATACTGGTAACTCAGTTATTTTCGTATAAATATAAATATCACACATAAGTTGTTTCCCCTGGTTGTTCAAATGGGAGAGAGAGAAAAATGGGGTTTAATGTCCGCTTGACACAAACTAGGTCATTTTGGGACTAACATATGGTTTAATTTTATTTTAATAAAACGCTTGCACGTAGGGGTCTTTAGTAGTGGGAGGAAACCGGAGGACCCGGAGAAAACCCACAAGGTTTGACAGGCGACCCTACTCCTTGTCACGTACAACCGGGGATTCGAAACCACGCCAGTTGACTCAATGACAGGCCTTATGATACAGCACGCATGTGCTAACCATTCGACCATCCAACTCCCCTGGTCAAATGGATTGTGTTGTATGAGTGTAAGATCATAAGGTCTGTCATTGAATCAAGTTGTGGGAATTTAATTCCCTGCTTTTATGTGACAAGTATTAGGGTCGTCTGTCCAGCCTCTCTAGTTCCCTTCAACAGCTAAAGACTCCTAGTGACCTGGATTGTTTCGAGTTGACAATAAACTCTCTCTCTCTCTCTCTCTCTCAGTAAGCCTGGGGGGGGGGGGAAATAGGGATTTTTGAAAAGATTTGATTGTAAATTATTGTAATTGGGCTAGGCAAAGCTATAAATTACTGAAGATTCTCAACTTTTCAAAGATTTCAATTTTTTTCTCCCAGACTTACCTAAATTTCGTTTCATCTTATATGGCCGAGTTCGTAAATTTGTGTGTTACCCTATATTTAGATTTCAGTGAAGTCTGCCAAGTTGGTTAGAAGTCGGGGACGTATTTTTCAACAGTGTGTTGTGTCGGTCATACTGTCTCTAGCGAGGTAAGCAAGGTCTTAATTTCTCACTAAGATGTTCCTTTACATTGTACAGGCGTTACATTGTATAGATTGACACCCCACCGTTTAGCAGTAAAAAGTTGCCCAGTAAAATTGACTGGGAAGCGATTTCAATTTCGCCAAGGATTCAATAGGACGGTTCCTGAACGTACAGGGCAAGTGTAATGAGACGGTATACAGACAACTTATCCCAATATAAGACAACTCATCCCAAGATAAAAGACAACTCATCCCAACTTTAAAACATGGGTCGAGATAAAAGAAAACTCCTTCCAACAAATATAAGTGCTAATTATATTTGTTTTAATACAGTTGCTTTCTTTGAAGACCACTCAGACCATTCTCATTTTGTTATAAAAATGTGTTATCTTAAAATTGATATTGTTGTTTTAATAAAATTGATATTGTTGTTTTAATAAAATTGATATTGTTGTTTTAATAAAATTGATATTGTTGTTTTAAATTTTAAGTTGTTCTAAGTTTTGGGCGCTCTGTATACTTATCATAGCGTACACATTTCAATTCAATTCAATATCATTGTCTGATAGAAATTCATCAGAATATGACATTATATCCTTATCTTTATGTATGAGTTTCAGTACAGCTGATATCTTGGGATGAGTTGTCTTATATTGGGATGAGTTGTCTTTGGGATGAGTTGTCAGGTACCCGGTAATCAATGAGATGAACTACATTGATACTAGCTACGAGAACGTAGCTAAAAACGTTGAGATATACTGATGTGTTTGTTTTAGCTATGATTGGATGCCTTTAGTTCCAAGTGGCAAACTCAATTTCTTTATTATTGCATATTACATCTTTAAAATAAGATGAGTTTATGCTATTATGATTAATTAAACTTACAGAGGCCAATGTAGTGGCACAACTGTCGCCTAACTCCAAATATTCGTGTTTTAATTAATGAAGCGTTGTTTTTGTCTGACTTGGAGTCGATTACATGTCATTTCGGTCCCGCGTCATTTCGGACTTACGTCATTTCGGACTCCAAAAAATATGTCCCCGACATTTCGGACTCGGGTAGGTGACATTTCGGACTCGGGTAGGTGACGTTTCGGACTCGGGTAGGTGACGTTTCGGACTCGGGTAGGTAAGATAGAATTATACAACACACTGACGCCAATTTACTTTATAAACTATTTTATTTATCAACATAGCATAAAATGATAACATCGATTTATAACAACGGGCATATTATTTTATTTTTAAACATACCATATAGCGATAACAACGGTCATATAAAACATTCATTTATTGTATAAATACATACACATTCATACATTAACGCAACATTTATAACAACACGTGTATTTATTTGATGAAAAAATAGCTTTAGTCGGCTATTCATTTTTTTTTTTTTTTTTTTTCATTTTTTTAATTATGTAATTGTTTTTCACTGAGCGGGTGGACCATACAAATGACTTATTTTTTTTAATAGTCTACTAGTGCTCATCTGTTTTTCATTGTATGAATCCCATATATTAAAAAGTTGGCCTTCTACATGTCGATACCGACGTCTTTGGTGTCGTCTCAATGAACCTTCCGACATCATTGTGAGGTCCAGTGGTATCTTTGTAGCTTCTGAAAAAAGTGCGCAAATCAATAGATAAAATGGCACAGGACCTCTGGCGTTGACACGGGAATTTAGTCTGTTGTGCCAGCCCTCCACGTCGTTATTGGTTCTCACTGGCAACATAAACACGCACCAATCTTCTATTGGAAACAGACGAGATGAAATCCATTGATCTTCTATGTATGTACATATCGGCTCTAACTGTTCTGGGCACCTGTCTTTCAAATGGGCAAACATGCCCGCCACGTGTTCTTCGGGCAGGAAAGGGAGAGCCATCAATCGCCTCAAATAATTAAACACGTCCCCCTTTTCGTTGTACGCTGTCTGAAATAATAAAATATTAGAAATATATTAATACTGAAAATCTATTTGTGCACTTGTACTTTAAAAGAAGATATTATAATAAGAATTTTTTTATTTTACTATAAGAAGATTTATTATAAGAAGAACGCACAACATACCTGGAATCCCTTTTCTTGAATTTTCCGGAAAACGGCCTGGGTCCAATGAAACACGCATCCTTGAATTCTTATATCTACAAAACGGCGTCTAAGGGCCTGCCATAACCCCGCCTCAAAATCCACCACAAATCCCTCCAAGGCAATCTGGCTTGGTAGCATCTTGTCCACTGCCCGGAGAACCTGTAAAATAAATAAACCAAACGTTCATTTATCTGATTATATTTATTCATTTATCCGATTGTAATCATTTCTCCGATTATATTCATTTCTCCGGTTATTCATTTCTCCATTTTTTCCGATTATATTTATATCATTTTTTTATTCCGAGTTTATAGATCACATCTTACCTTGTAGTAATCGTCCTGACTCTTCCCGGACATTACACAAAAGACAAGTGGTACCTGCTTCGTGGTTTCCCCGGCTTTTACGAAAGCGTGGATAGAAAATAATTGAGAATATGGTTTGTTGATAACTCGGAAGGTGGCGTCCATGTACCACGTTTTAGCCTTTGCCAAAAGTCGCAGTTGATCTTCAGTGGCAAAGATGTGATGTCGCCTTTCCCCTACTTTAACCCGCTTCTGGTAGAAGCCGGGAGCGTTGCTGTCAATAAAGTCTTCATCCAGCTGAAACGACAAACAATATAATCTTCATCAATTTGTGTATTTACCTATTTAACAATATAGCCTTCATCAATTTATGTAAACAATATAATCTTCACCAATTTATGTAAACAATATAATCTTCATCAAATTGTGTATTTACCCATTTAACAATATATTTAATATATTTAACTTATTGTACTTACAGGGGAAGACATGTCTACTGGGTCATTTGGTCGGAGAGTCTGTCTGGTTCGCTGCACCGACCTTATCAATGCTGCAAGAGGTGGTCTGCTATACACTGGTTCGTTGACCGATCCTACACTTGCCATGACACTCTCTGCGATTGATGGACAGGATCTTGTAAAAATATTTCCTATGGCTTCCTTCTTAGCCTGCAATGATATAATAAATATTATACATATTCTTTTTTTTTATTTCAGCAACAGTCAGTACCAGGGTCAGCTGGAGGAATGAATATCTGTTCTTTCAATCTTTTAATATATGTACATATCGTTACTTTAATATTTGTATTTTTATATACATACCGTTACTTTAATTTTAGCAGCAGTCAATATACCAGGTTCTGCTGGGTGAATATGCTCTTTCAAACCTTTCTTGAAGTCGGTACCATCCTGAATCACCGTTGCAGGACAAGTCAGGGAACCATTTCTCTTGCAGCACCTCCATACGGTCGTTTTCTTGTCCGTCTAAAAAAAACATCATTAGTTCTAATTAGATATCATATTCGTCTACACGTAACATTAGTTCTAATATATAAGTTCTAGTTAGATATCATATTTGTCTATAACATACATATATATAACACATACCTTTATCGTATAAGCAAAACCAATGTTGTCAAACAGCTTCTTTTTCCCACGTGTTGTTGCTGCCTCTTCTATAGTGTATGCTAATTCAGGTTCTTCTTCAGCAAATACGCTAATATCTTGCTCATCTTCAGACATTGAAGACTCGATAACCGGATCAGGTAGCTGGTATGGTCGTTCAATGGTGAATGATTCTTCGATGTCCATTTCTTCTTCTGTAGGGGGGAGCGGGGCAACACATCTACAGCATTTCCATTCAAAAGCAGTTCTATGTCGGTTTAAACTCCTGTACTCATCCCGAGTGATGCCTGAAATAGTGATAAATAAAATAATAATATTCCCGGATTGCGGGTACGTGTCAATAAATAACAATAACGACAAATTTATAACGTTTCAATAAATAACAATAACTTACAAGCTGAAACGACAAATTTATAACGTTTCAATAAATAACAATAACTTACAAGAAACGACAAATTTAAAACGTTTTAATAAATAACAATAACTTACAAGAAACGACAAATTTAAAACGTTTTAATAAATAACAATAACTTACAAGAAACGACAAATTTAAAACGTTTTAATAAATAACAATAAAGAAAATTTCATTACGTACCGGAATCGCAGGTTCGATGTTGCCATAAAAGACAAGAATCGCACTGGAGGCCTTCTTGTCGAGGACGGACAGGATTGGTACACTTTACGCAATTTCCACTAGCCATGATAGATTCGTGTAAAAATTGAGAATGATTTGAATTGAAATATGGCACATATATATAATACATTTGAGCTTGGGCTCAATCATTTCTTAACGGCTTCATTATTTCTCAATCATTTCTTAGCGGCTATTAGAAACGCCGATCAGTGTTTTTATTTCTCAATCATTTCTTAGCGGCTATTAGAAACGCCGATCAATTATCGCTATTAATCTTAAATACAACAATGGGATGGTTTCACTAATCGCTGGATTCACTAATCGCTAGATTAAAACAACAATCGCGGATCGATTATCGTCAACAATCTAAACTAATTCATCGTCAACAATCAAAATTTACTCATCAAAATACAATAATATCCGATCAAGTAAATAAACAAATACAAAAAAGGCAAGTAGCATAGGTTTTACTTCAAGTTCAAGTTCAAAGGCGTGTTGTCAAGTAATGGCCTGTATGGGATAAATAAAACAAGACTAACAATGTTTAAATCTTTATTAATGTGAATGGTCTGTCTTGAGCCTCACCTACAACGAAAGAAAAACAGCTATTACTAATATATACACACATAATTTTAAGTTTTATTTGAGTCCGAGTCCGAGTCCGAAATGTCGCCGGTCCGAGTCCTAAATGTCGTTTGACTGAGTCCGAAATGACACCGAGTAAGTCCGAAAAGTCGCCATACTGAGTCCGAAACGACGTTTGTGCTGAGTCCGAAATGACGCGGGACCGAAATGACGTGCTACCTTGGAGTCAATGGCATCATTTCTTATCATTTTTTATCTACATTGATACTGGTACTTGAGAAATACCCTTGATCACTCACTACAAAAGGTATAAATTTTATTGAATATATCATAAATGTTGGGTCACCAAAAGATATCTCTTAAATTCCTGTTTATTAAAAATTTAATTATTTCAAAACATCTCACCATTGTTCTCAAGTCCACGTGACAAATCAACTCGATAAGATTGTTCAGCGATGACGTCCTGTTCAGAATTGTTTCGAGAAACAAAACAGCGCCACTCTGGTTCGTTGACCTACGTATTATTCTAACTATCGGTAATTAACTATCAGTAGCAGTTCACAAAACAAATAGGGAAAGAGAAACATGCAATTCTAATGACAAAACGGACCAAAAAATGGCCTTTGTTTATTTTGATAAAGTATTTCCGGTTGGCATATTTGGGCGTATCTTGACTTTTGACGTAGATCGATCCAACGTGAGTAAGTCACATAATGTACTGTCGAGTCCCGTTTTTTGGACACAGAACTCATTTTTCTTTCCTTTTTTGTTGAAAATAGGACAATACTTATTAACAGGAAATAAATACGCACCCTCACGTTGCATAAGCTCACAACAAGTTAGTCTTAACGCAGGTTTGGCATAAAACTAAACTCAGCTTCAGAACTATTATAATCTAGTTAGTAGATGAGATAGATTTATTGTACCAAAATGTCATCCTTTGATGTTGGCGTACCATTATTTCCAATAATGTACGGGCAACTTGCCAATTGTACATTATCTATACTAGGTGAAATATTGGACTCGCGTGACATATTTCATTGAAAAGCACGTGCGGGATAGTGTCTGTAATTTAAGCTAAATACATTGCGTAATATATTGAAACAACTCGGCTAACGCCTCCTGAAGCATCAATATATTACCTAAACGAGCTAAATCGATAACATTTAGGACCTAGAAATTGACAAAAGTGGGTCGCAACGCATATAATACTGTAATATGAATGTATATAAACTGATTTACATTCAATGGTTTCCGTTTTACTCCAATTTCAAATCAGTTATGTTCGGCGAAATAAGCCAGCAGTCTCAAGCGAGTGCAAATTTCTAGCGTCTGGTTATTCCAGTCTACATACGCCGTTTGATTTGGTGCAATGTGTCTAGCCTCGTCCCTCGAGTCTCTTGATACAACTGGGGCTGAAGCGCATTATGGTACACGATTCGTGTACCAATGGTAAAATGTTTATTTTGTCTTAAATATTGGATATCAGAAGCCCACCTTTTTCCGGTAAGATCACAACATGAATGTTGATTTAATTTGACAAATAAATCGTGTTTTCAATGTTGAAGATTTTGGATGATATTGAGTTAGAGACTTAGCTACTTTAATGTCTCGCCCTCGACCATTAAACCATACTTATTGTATCAAAACGTTCATTCAGGACACCATACAGTACAGATATTATGTATGAATGTACATCTTATAAATATATTCATAACGAGAATATACTGATTGATAATGACTGTAGAATCCTAGTCGCTGAGTAATAAACAGTAATTGCATTCCATAGAATTGTGACCTATTGAAATGAAAGAGAGAGAGAGAGAGAGAGAGAGAGAGAGAGGGAGGGGCCGGGGGGGGGGGGGGTAACGTCCACTCGACATAAACTAGGTTATTTCGGGACTAACATATGGTTCAATTTTTTTTCAATAACACTTGCGCATTGGTGTCTTTAGCAGCGTTAGGAAACCAGGAAAAAAGGAGAAAATCCACGAGGTACCCCACTCCTTGTGTAACCAGAAGAAATTACCGTATCTTGATTCTACAAACCAATCAAAAATCAGTTTAGAAACCAGCCTTAGCTTTATTGTTTACGTTCACAATATGGCGGCTTGTGCACTCGATTGTGGGAAAGTTTGCAAGAAATTTAATGTAAAAGAAGTGCCACCTTTTTGATGGGAAAGATGTTTTATGTCAGTCAAAACAGGCAGTGGCAAGTCGTTATGCTATCAAGCATGTCCTGCTATTGGTCGATAAAAATAACACAATCATCAAGGGCGAATAATTTGAATGCCTGTCTCCCCCATGAATAATAATAATAATAATAATAATAATAAAATCTTTATTTAATGAGGTAACTTATTTAGTTTGCAAAAAACTAATCTTCCATAAATCCCTCCTAAACTATAAAGACATAATATATACATGTAATATCAGGATAAATTCAAAATCATTTGAAATGTAATAGCATTTTAAAGTGAGAAGTTTGGGTTATTAAGTCACTCCTAAACTACAAAACATATACATGTAAAATATAGGAAGAACACTATAATTACACACAAAATAAGATAGAATGCAGTTATAAGTTCAGTATACCGGAATGTGAGACGGAATGGGATCACTGGGAATACCGAGGGGAGGGGGCGCTATACGTCACTCGAGCTGACAACAAGTCGACATTTTGCCAAATAAAAAAATTCGCGGGAAATAAAGGAATCCCGATCATCAAGTCGCATATACCTATTTTTTGGCGTTCGTCATTCGCCGTTTTGAGAGAGTCACAGCCACCAGTGGAAATATTGCACTCGCATGATTTCATAGAAATGCACGTGTGGGATAGTGAATCTGTATTTTAAAACTATGTAAATGTTTCAAGTAAAACATTGCGGAATATCGACTGAACAGTTAGGCTACTGCGCCCTCATGCAATATCAGTACTACATATGGAAGTTGTTTAAGGTCTCGAGTAAAACATTGCGTAATATATAATTCAAACACTGGATAAAAACGTCAAGAAAAAAATGGTGAAAGTACTTTTAACACTTTTATTAAAGCGTTCACTTGTTTACAAAGCATTCTAAAAATAGAAGATGAATAGAAGCTCTCGGAACTTAAACATAACATTATATACTTTTGGAAGTATAAACATGGACCTTATAATAAATCATAATAAACAGATTTTACAGAGCATCGCTAGCCAATTCGACATCATTTAATGGATTTACCTCCCTTGGACAACGTCAAAACTTCAGTTATTACATGGGAGACAACTCTTTTAAGCATCTCTAGCAATTTTTACATGGATGCAGACCATCATTAACACAATTTTTTTGAAAGCTTACCTGTATTGACTTTTGACGTAGAATTGATGCAGAGGCGTTGAATTTTTATTTTGTGTCTGGTTAGGGAGGGCCATGAAATAAAATAAGTAAAGAGGCTTTGTTTTCTTTCAGCACTAGGGGAGTGGGGTGTTGTGGGGGTGTGGATGGCCGAATGGTTATCGTACGCGTTGCATCATAAGGTCTGTCATTATGGTTTGGGTAAGGGTTAGGGCTAGGGAGGCCCGTAGCTAGCCCAAAATTGTTGGGGGGGGGGGGGGCAAGAGCTTCTGGGGCGCCGATGGGGCTTCTGGAAGTGCCGATGTACCTACACTTGACGGTCTAGGGTGATCTCCCCCCAGAAAATTTTGGAAAATAGGGTTTGCACAAGAGGAGAGGAACTATGAAAATGACGGACAATTTCAATTTTGAGACTGAATTTGAAATATTGGCAGGTGATGATATTTTGACATGAACACTATAAAAATTTGAAGGAAGGAATACGACTTTAGCGTACCTATAATAATTTACGAGAAAAGGGAAAAGTTCGGGGTGCGCCTCATATATATAGGCATAATTGGCGAGGCGCCCATAAAACCAAGTACCATTGGTTAGACGCCCAGCCAATGTTTCTCGGCTTTAAGGGGCGCCCATACTAATATGGGCACGTTGGTCGTTGGATTCGTATTGCGTACAATGGAAAGGGCGCTTTCGGCACCCAGTGGAGGCGCCGATTTTTAGCAGGATCTCTGTTGTTCAGATTGGGGAGTTGGATGGCAAAATGATTAGCGCGTGTGCGTTCTATCATAAGGTCTGTCATTGAGTCAACTGGCGTGGTTTCGATTCCCCGGTTGTACGTGGGTTTTCTCCAGGTCTTCCGATTTCCTCCCACTGCTAAAGACCCCTACGCGCCAGCGAATTATTGAAATAAAATTGAACCATATGTTAGTCCCGAAATGGCCTGATTTGTGTTGAGTGGACGTTAAACCCCATATATCTCTCTCTCTCTCTCTCTCTCTCTCTCCCTCCTCTCTCTCGCTCTCTCTCTCTCTCTGTTCAGATTCAAAAAGATGAGGTATCATGGCCACGTGAGAGAACCCGGTTAATAGAATACTTAAACCAAGAAATAGGCGTGTCAGGGTTCAATATCCCCCAAACACTGGTAATGCTTCAATTATTTATTTTCGAAAATTAAGGATGGACAAATATGTAAGTAAAACATCGATTATAAATGAAATTGGGGAGATTTATTAAATATATCACGAAAATAAATAAATAAACCCCTATATGTAGTAATAGACTAGTCTAAATAAAAACAATAGTTCTCTTGCTATTATTACAAAAAAAGACAGTGTTTTGCTTCTCTGCCAAAAATTTAACAAAATGATGTTTAAGGTGATCAGTTTGGTTTTCTTGCTACAGTTAGTCCATGGTAACATAGTTCCTGGACTTGATTTAAAGTCATCTTATCAGAGGTAAATACAACATTTATTCAAACTTCTATTACTATTAAACCAATGGTGTGTAGTGAACGAATGGATACATCAACACTGTAACTAAATAAAGAGTACATTGGTATTAAGAGTACATGTACTTACTTCGTTGATGTCTTGGCATAAAGTGAGGCGCAAGCGTACACTGGAAGTTCTCGTTGATGTCACGTGGTTTATAACATTCCTCCCCATCTCACTGAGTCGGAAAGTTGGGTGGCCCAATGGTTAGCACGTGTGCGCTGTATCATAAGGTCTGTCATTGAATCAACTGGTGTGGTTTCGATTCCCCGGTTGTACATGACTAGGAGTAGGGTCGCCTGTCCAACCTTGTAGGTTTTCTCCGGTTTCCTGCCACTACTAAAGACCCCTAACCGCAAGAGAATTATTGTAATGAAATGATCGAACCATGTGTTAGTCCCGAAATGACCTAGTTTGTGTCGAGTGGACGTAAAGCCCCATCTCTCTCTTTCTCTTTCTCTCTCTCTTATTGAGTCGAACATACATTGATGTTAGGAGGCGAACATAAAAGTTAAAAATATAAATATAAAAAATAAATGTCAGTTGGTATACACAATTCTAAAATACCAAGTGTGTTGTTTATTCCTCTCAGTATGGCTGCCCCGGTAGTTTTAGATGTCTCAGGGCTGAAAGTCCAAGGAATGGGTTACTAATTTGGATTACTGAATCGCCCACGCCTGAAGTCCGGTGGGTCCGATTGGTACCTAGACGGATGTGACAAAGTGTCTGAACTTATTGACCCCTAGCTACGAGAACGTAGCTAAAAACGTTGAGATATACTGATGTGTTTGTTTTTAGCTACGATTGGATGCCTTTAGTTCCAAGTGGCAAACTCAATTTCTTTATTAATGCATATTACATCTTTAAAATAAGATGAGTTTATGCTATTACATGTATGATTAAATAAACTTACAGAGGCCAATGTAGTGGCACAACTGTCGCCTAACTCCAAATATTCGCGTTTTAATTAATGAAGCATTGTTTTTGTCTGCCTTCACCGCCATCGAAATCCATTCATAGTTAAAATGCTTTAGATTGCCCTTTTGATTGGCTGTTATAAAAGCCTTATATTTAGCCCCGCCTTCATGATGACAGCGTATCGTTTAAAAAGATGGCGGTCTTAGTAACGGCTTAACGCCTAGATTTTAAAAACGACGATTTGTACCCGTTTCAGGTAGGATTATATGCTAAATTGTAGTTGCATGTGCCAGAAATATTATAAATAACAATAATCAATCGTTGTTTTTATTAAAAATATTGTCAATTTTGTTTACAAATGCCGGGTGCGAATCGCTCCCGCATGTGCTACGTTGAAGGTAATGGCCTCATGTCTTATCTCGAAACAAGGAGGGTTGAGAGATTAAGGTTTGTTATCTAATTGACCCCAAGTTGGTTTTGATACTATATAGTATTATTCACCTATATACACGCGTGCGCTGTGTTGTAATTAAAGACCTAATCAATCCAACATGTATTGACAATGTAGATGTAAACGATAACTTGTACACTCCATATATGATGATGACTTTGTTGTGAGACTCAATTCCTTATAAGACATTCGTATCAACTTTCTCTATTGTTGAAAGGTATATAACCATACGTTTACTGACAGTTAGAGAGAGGGGGGGGGGGGGGGGGGTGAGGAGCAAAGACCGGTGTATTGTTCAGCTGCTGCCGTGGCAGAAGGGCGGAAAGGTTATAATATAGTCATGTACTGTGTTAATGTTATTGTTTATGTTCCTGTTTAATGTACGTTCCTGTTGTATGTATGTAGATGCTTCATATTCTATTCCCGATGTAAATAAACCATATACAGTAAACCAGACCTGTCAACTCTATCGCATCACGCGGTAAAGTGCCGCGAAAAGGCCTCATGTACCGCTCTACTGCGCGGTAATGGATTTCTACCGCATTTTCTAACAAAGATTTTTTAATTTTCTCGCCAAACTATGGAACTAAGGGAAGCAACTCTTTGCATGTTGTTGACGGATCTGTTGACTGATCAGTGTTATCATTACTAATGATGTTACACGGAGAGTCAGATTTTTAAAGGGGGTAAATCGCTAATATTTGGGATCTAGAAAATGACACAAATGGGTTGCTAGCATATAATAATGTAATATGAATGTATATAAACTGATTTACATTCAATCGTTTCTGTTTCTACTGTAATTTCTAATCGGTTATGTTCGGCGAAATACGCCAGAAGTCTCAATCGAAAGGCGATCTCTAGTGTCTGGTTATTCCAGTCTACACCGATAGTATTTATTGCGAATGCTCAACAGATAAGAATATGACGTCACCGTCTGACATGACTGGTGAAATATACCTAGCCTCGTTTTTTGAGTCCCTTATTACAAATTACGTTGAAACGTATTATGGTACACGATTCGTGTACCAATGGTAAAATGTTTATTTTGTCTTAAATATTGGATATCAGAAGCCCACCTTTCCCAGTAAGATCACACCATCAATGTTGATTTAAATTGACAAATAATTCGTGTTTTCAATGTCGAAGATTTTAGATGATATTGAGTTAGAGACTTAGCTACTTTAATATTGTCATCTATTTCAGGACAAATGGAGACGGCAATAGTCCAACAACAAAGATGGATACCACTGGAAAAAATGTAAGGCAGTTAATCTTGCATATCTTGTCTTTAAGAAACCACTCCTCTAGAGACATTGCCTAAAGATACATTATGGGAGATTAGATAAAGAGCTGACAGTTCTCACTATAATAGTTAAAAATTAGATAATGTAAAGGTAATTTGCTGAAAATTTCAGTCACATTGATCCACTCTAAACCGAGGATTTTGCGATTGAATTTTAAGCCTAGCCTCGATCATCATTACTAAAGTCGGTACGATAAAAAACATAGTCGCGATTATCCACTTTTTGATTTAATCATTAATGAGCGTTGAACAGTAGATCGGATTCTAATCCAGTAAATATCGTAGGCTAAGTCTGGATAAGTTAATTAATGTCTAAAGAAAGACCTGCAATCGGAAGATTTAGCTCTTGAAGACAAAGAGTAGAGGATCAACTTTTGCATAAAGAAGAAATAACAGTAGTGCCCCCCCCCCCTTCCCGTAGCTAGTGTACCTTAAAGCGGCCGATACACGTTCAATTTTTTCGTCAATTAATTGATATCATTTAATTGACGAAGAAATTGAAAGTGTATGGAGGACATTGACGGTGAATTAATTGAAACAATTGAATTGAATCAATTAATTGATGAATCAAAGTTCCTTTCATATTTATTGACGGTTCATCAATTAAATTGACCGTGTGTGCTACTGCCAGAGATGCTTTCATCTAGAAGTTTTCGATCAGTATGAAAATTGACGCTAAAAAATTGATCGTGTGTGGGCAGGGTCAATTTCGTCAATTAATTGATGACAATTAATTGACGAAAAAAAATAACATGTATGGGCCGCTTTAGCGACTCCTAAGCCAAATAAAAAAAGGCACGGCTAAATCTCCTGTGAGCAATTCTAAGCGACCAAAATCTATTAACAGTCGTGTGCCAATTTGTAATGAACAAATAAAAACATATCCTACAACACAATGTGAAAGTAATTAGTAAAAGTTGATTCAAATAATAGTAAAATAATAATGTAAAAACAAACGTGTAGAATACACTAAGCAGGCGTAAACAACTGCCGTTCAGTCTGAACTGTTCACGTTTTTCACTGAACATAATTGATTAGAAATTACAATATATTTTTCAGAAATTGAATATAAATCACTTTACATACATTCATATTACATTAACACGTGCTTTTAGAACCATTTTTTTTTTATTTCAAGGTTCCAAAAAATAGAGCCATACACCCTTTAATACCACTGTCCGATAGTGAAGATGAGGACAGTGCCCAACCCATGACTGATGATGAAAAACGTCAACTTAGTTTAAACATTAACAAATTGTCAGGTAAGTCATACCGGCAGGAAATAGTGTTTTTTCGAACACGCGACCTCCAGGCTTGTGAGCCAGCGTCTTACCCATTTAGCCACCGTGGCTCATAGAGACAGCTATGAAATGAAATGAAATTGGGTTTAACGTCCTACTGTTCTGCTCCGACTGGGCTAATGCTGTGTGCTATGAGGTCAGTTTGGCCCGGGCAGCGGCACTATGGCCTACATGTTTTCTTATATCGAATTCCAACTGCCAAGGGATCTTTTACGTGCACGCTAATGTGTACACAGGACCTCGGTTTTATACCACCCGAACGACTAGGCAGTTGTCCTTGTCAGGTCCTCCGTCCTGTACAACTGACAAGGGGGAAACCACACTGGAAAATCACGAACTTTCTCGGCCAACACCGGGAGCAAACCCGCGACCTCGAGGCTAGAGAGCCAGCGTCTTACCCACTTAACCACCGCGGCTCCCGCATATGTTTTATTACGTTGATATAAATGAAATCCAACTTTAACATTCATTATGTCACAATTTGTGAAGAAAATTGTGGTAGGAGTAGAGGGCCACGGTGGCTAAGTGAGTAAGACGCTGGCTCGCTAGCCTGGAGCTCCTGTGTTCGATCCCTGCATTGGCCGAGAAAGTCCATCGGGATGGATCACGCGACCTCCATGCTAGCGAACCAGCGCCCTATCCTCTTAGCCACCGTGGTGAGAGAGAGGTCCCGGAAAAAAATCATGAGGTTGGACAGGCGACCCTATTCCTTGTCACGTACAACCGGAGAATCGAAACCACACCAGTTGACTCAGTGACAAACCCTATGATACAGCGCGCACGTGCTAACCATCCGGCCATCCAACCCGGCCCGAGACAGTTATGATTATTTCTGTAATATATTGTGTACAAAATCAATTGACTTGATTTCAGGCACAATATTACTTTTAGTACATATTTAATATTTTGTAGACAATAAGCTTGGGGAGGTTTTTCATTTAATTCAGTCAAGAGAACCGTCCCTGCGAGATTCCGATCTACAGGAGATAGGAATAGATTTTCAAACATTAAAGCTATCCACACTTAGAGAACTGGAATCTCATGTGATGTCCTGTTTAAAAAAGAATCAAAAGAAACCACATGGTAAGTTGAAGATTTTAATCTATTACTCTCAGGCCCGTAACTGGTGGGTCGGTGGGGGGGCTTTAAAAAGATTCCTACCCCTCCCACCCTCGCCCCTGTGAAAAAAATTGTCGACCATAAAAACAATAGATATACATTGTCTGTCAATTTTACAGCACCCCTGTAAATTCGAAGGAATTATTAGTGGGCAGAAATTCGCCAATGTATCTGTTATCACCCGTCACTTCAGTCAGTTATATTGCGGGATAACTCGTGTTTTCCTTTTGCGTTCGTCACTTCCGATTGTTGAAGCATTGATTACGCATCTATCGTAGCAATGATCTCTGTGATAAAATAATATTTGGAATGTGTTTAACCAGTTCTATCACATATGTGATAAAGACTGGCACCATTATTGTCCTTTAAATCATTGGCTTTAACTTGGATAATAAATTGTGAGATAAAACAGCTATCTTGACTAAATATTTTATTTCAGAAGAAAGTAAAACAGTTGATGTAGTTGGTGGTCCAAGGCGACTAGCAAGCAGTACCAGTTCTTCTGATAGTGAGAGTAGTAGTGGTAGCAGCACGTCAAGTTATTATTATTATTATTTCAGCATATTTATAGTGTGCCTTTTCATATAATCTGTTCAGGGGCACTTTACAAAGTCTTACCGTGAATAAATGGAGTTCTCATTTCCAATATTTAAGATACAGTGAGAATTTTAAAACTGGCACACGAATTGCCATAGGCTGCAGAAAGAAAAAAGCTCTCAGAAATGAAACATAAAACGATTTTACAAGGAATCTCTAGCCAGGTCGACGTCATTTAATGGGTTTACCTCCCTTGGACTATGTCAAAACTTCAATTTTTACATGGGAGACAACTCTTTTTAGCATCTTATTTTTACATGGAGGCAGACCACCATTAATACAAATTGTAGTGCAAGCTACGATGTAGAGGCATTGAATTTCTATTTTGTGTCTGGTTAGGTGTTTGGGCCATGAAATAAAATGAGTAAAAAGACTTTGTTTTTTTTCAGCACCAATAGAGGGGGAGAGAGATTAACGATCACTCTCGACACAAACTAGGTCATTTCGAGACTAACATGGTTCAATTTTATTTCAATAATTTGCTTGTGCGCAGGGGTCTTTAGGCAGTGGGAGGAAACCGAAGGACCCAGAGAAAACCCATGAGGTCAGACTACCCAAATTTCCTTTCTCAGTCAACATCATGATTGCACCTGAGACCCCCCCGGTTAGTAATCCAGCTGAACCAGTTCCTCACTCGGCAAACATCGACACACTCCAGTACTCTACATCTCGCCTTGGTTAGTGACCCAGCTGAACCACTGCCTCCCTCAGGAGACCTCAGCACCCTACTTATTATGAGAAGTTGCCACTTTCCGAGAGAAATTCTCAAAATTGCGTCTTTTGAACATTGTGTAGAATTTTCATTTGCTAAGTAAAGGACAATATTGGTGTCAGTCATTATTACATATGTGATAGAACTGGTTAAATACATTCCAAACATAATTTTAACACAGAGATCATTGCTACGGGAGACGGGTAACAAGCACGTGAAGAAACGGGAAGTGACGCCAAACATGACAAACACGAGTTGTCCTTCTATATAACAGACTGAAGTAACCAGCGGTAACAGACAAACGATTGAATTGACATCTTTGTATGATAAAACACTCTTCAAAGGCTTCTTCATGGGCGACACCATTTGTAATCCGGGAATTCATCAAACAGCTGAGGCTAGATGTAGGATACTGGAGTCGGCTGAGGTTTGCCGACTGCCAGTGCGTAACTCACTCAGCAACAAGAAAAGTTATTTTGTACAAAACTAGTTTTTATTTAATAAGTAATATTGAGATTTTACAAGTTAAATATAAAACATTATACACAGATGTGGATTATTAATGTACAACATATTCAATATCAATATTCAGTAGATACAATGTGTGCTTTTAAGAGATCAGGGCAAGGGCATGGATTTGTCATAACTTTTGGCGGGTGACTGACGAACCCTGGAACATTATATTACCAAACCAAAATAATAATTACAAACAGTTTACTGTACCAGTGTTATTTCGATGAAAGCTGTATCTAGGGGTAATATGATGACGATATGGAAAAATTGATAGCTGCGATCGGTCAATTAAGGAGGAAGATATCGTGAAGATCAGTAACTGTGGCGAGACCCAAGGCAGTGGTTAAATAGCCTTCAGAACGGGTCATTCATGTGGATATAAACCAGAAAATCTGTCCTTGCGATCAAAATCATGGGCAGGACAGAGACCTATTTGTTCCCCCCCCCCTTCCGATTCTAAGGAAGGGACACGTCCCCCCTAAATCCATGCCCATGGTTCAGGGTAAACTTGCTTATCTTTAATCTCACATGGAATGTAAGAGATATTAGATCTAAAGTGATAAGATATCAGCTAATATAAAAAAAAATATAAATTAATAAAAAGGTCAATAAAATAAATAGTATTCTCAAATTAATTCAGTGATTCTCAACCAGTATGCCACGGCACACAGGTGTGCCATGAGATCTTTCTACGTGTGCCGCGGAATTTGAACAGCACACTAAGAAAATTTCTCACCCAAAAAGCCAGCTATTTGACTGATGAAATTCGAAACACTGCAATAAATTAAATTCATAGCTGTGTTTTTCTGTATTTAGTTTGAATCATTCTATGTGTCTGTGTCTACGGTTGTATGCTTTATATTTGTTCATCTATATTTAGCCATGTGCGCCGCTATTTTTTCATGTGTTCCAAGGTGTACCGTTGGCAAAAATAGGTTGAGAACCACTGGATTAATTAATAAACAGATCTAATCTCAAAATATTGTTCTTCAGTTGTTAATAGAATCAAATTGACAAAATAACATCAAATAAAAAAATCATATCAACTCCCTGGGGTGCCAAGTTGAATTACACTGTATTTAATGTTTAATAACCTAACTACTTTATGGAATCAACAAAAAATCTAAACTTGGGCACTCCAAACATTTTTATTTGTGATATGAATATCTAATATGGGATATCAATTCATTAATAAACAGGTCAGTTAAATTAATAAAATGATAACTAATTTGGAGATGAATCAATCTTCAAAAAAAGACGAAGACAATCCAATTCTAATTAGAGCTTCAAAAACATGAAAATCAATTGTACTTTAAATGGGAGAGGCGTTACAATTGTAGATATCGAACACATGAAAACAATTTAAACGAGTTAGACATTATTTGTGTTAAGAGGAGGCACTGCTCGACAATATGCATTTTAAAATAACTCATTTCTAGTGGAGCTATCAACATGAAATCTTCAGGAATTGTTCAAATAACCAAAATAAGGCTAAGCAACAGTTTTGGGGGATTTTTTTTTTTTTTTAGGAGTTGTAAATATCAAAAACATTGTTATTTAAATGAAATAAGAATTAAATATTTGTAGATGTTCCAACCTGATTAAAAGACAGATCTATATTTTGTATTGTTTCTTTTTATACTTTCGATGGCCTCTACTACATGAAGATCTGACTGGTTATAGTGGAAGGTCATGTCAGAGGTCATACAAGCTGCTTTTTTTTTACCCTATGGCGTTGATATTTCTAATGGGTTACCCACAGTTCTGTGCACCTCACGCCAAAAACTCGCTGCAACAGACCGTTTCATTTGCTAAATCCCTCACATTTGCTAAATCCCTCACATCACCCAGAAAGCGGGTTATATAACAACTCTTCCAGATCCTAGTACCAAGCCTGGAAATAAGGCACCTGTCACAGACAATGTCAGGCACAGATTCAGGCTTTGTCAGACACTAAACCTCTGTTGCCTGTCATTTTGTCCGGCAATGATTTGTCTTTTTTATTGATATTATTAAAACATGTCCGGCAATAAGTGAAAATGTCAGGTACTATTTCATTAGTGCATGACATTTTGTCAGGCACATCAAAAAACGTTATTTCCAGGCCCGCTAGTATAGTAAAGACAAGTTAAACGAAATTTTGAACTATAAAAAAAAAAACGAAATGAAATAAGATCTGTGTTTTAATCAGAGTGCAGATGTTTAGAATTATTCAGCCATGTACCAGACCTCATTGTGTCGAAACAGCACAGTTAATTGTTATTTAAATGAAATGAGAGTTAGATATTAAAGATTGTTTAGAATTATTCGGCCATGTACCAGACCTCATTGTGTCGAAACAGCACAGTTAATTGTTATTTAAATGAAATGAGAGTTAGATATTAAAGATTGTTTAGAATTATTCGGCCATGTACCAGACCTCATTGTGTCGGAACAGGACAGTTAATGGATTATCATACCCAGCTGTATAGAAGTAGTCATCTATGTAGGATTCACCAGCTCCATTCAAGTCTGTGGCTAGCTGTCTGGCTTGTTTAACCCACTGAGCAGCCGTTAACATATAGCCACTGAAAGACCTGTTGATATAAATTATATTTAGTTATATCATGGTTAAAGATACATTATGTAAGGGGAGCCACGGTGGCTAAATGGGTAAGACGCTGGCTCGCTAGTCTGGAGGTAGGATGTCCGATCCCTGCATTGGCCAAGAAAGTTCATCCAGATTTTCCGGCGTGGTTCCCCCATGTCAGTGATGCAGGATGGAAGGTGTGACAAGGACAGCTGTCTAGTCATTCGGATGGTACGGAAAACCGAGGTCCCATGTAGACATTGGTGTGCAGGTAGAAGATCCCTTAATAGTTGGAATTCTATATACGAGTAGGCGATAGTGCCTCTGCCCGGGCAAAATTTCCCTCAGACTGGTTTAGTCAAGGCAGTATATTGGCAGATTTCCATGTGGGATGAGAGTGGGGTAGAGACTGAATCGTCTTACGTATGCACTTTAGATCAAGAGGTCTGTCATACAGTGGGGGGTTGGATGGCTGAATGGTTTGTACGTGCGCGCTGTATCATAAAGCCTGTCATTAAGTCAACTGGCGTGGTTTCGAATCCCCGGTTGTAGGTGACAAGGAGTAGGGTTGCCTGTCCAACCTCGTGGGTTTTCTCCGGGTCCTCTGGTTTCCTCCCACTGCTAAAGACCCCTACGCACAAGTGAATTATTGAAATAAAATTAAACAATATGTTAGTCCTGAAATGACCTAGTCTGTGTCGAGTGGACTTGAACCCCCATTTCTCTCTCTCTCTGTCTTTGAGTAAATTGGTATGGTTTCTATTCCCCCTGATTCGTAAAATTGTATTAGTATAGAGAGAGAGAAATGGGGTTTAAATTCCACTCGACACAAACTAGATCATTTTGGGACTACATGCAACGTACGATTCAATTTTAATTCAATAATTCGCTTGTGCGTCGGGGTCTTTAGCAGTGGGAGGAAACCGGAGGGCACGGAGAAAACCCATGACCTAGTTTGTATCAAGTGGATGTTAATCCCTCTCTCTGGGATAATAAAACTTACTTAACATAGGCATCGAATGGCTTGGATTTAGTGACCGTGACCATAGGATCATTTGGAGCAGGTGGATCGGTGACTTTATTGGAGATGTAGAATGACATGGTGAAGTTACTCTCACATGCTGGGCCAGCACCTGGTATTAATCTCATTATAACAGGTACTGTCATTGCTATCTTTTCACCTGGTTAATAAATAATAACAATGTTAAATACCAGTTCTTCCAGGCCCTGGCATAAGAAGGTGGGTACAGGGGGCTACTTATCTGTGGTAACTTACTGACCATTTGCCATACATGTATATATTGAAGTTTAAGTACATTCTTGGATTATTTTCTGTCAACTACTTTTTTTTCTCCATCGTTTAATTGCAGAGTCTTTTGTATGTTTAAACCCCTCAATGTGCCCAAAATTGCCTAACCATTCAATCAAGAAATAACAACCGCTCCTTAAGTCAAGCTGGCAGACAATAAGCCATTGGGTTACCGGTTAGTGATACCCTGAGATTTTTGACCAGTGCTTGCCACATAGGTGTTTTTCAGGGAATCTAGTATTTTTCTAGTAATACTGGATGTATCTACTTTCCATTTATACAAAAATTTACCATAGTTTTATTTGAAATAACTACCCTATAAATACTGTTGTGAGAATGTATCTTTAAACTCACCTTTTGAATTATTACCAGAAATGTAATGGAATAATTTCATAAACATGGTTCTTTGTGCCATTGTGAAATCAATGCCAGTAAGCTGGGTTGACACCCAGTGAGTGGTAGGATAACTTCTCTTTTCATATTTACCCTGTCGAAAAAATCAAAAAAATGAAATGCAATGAAATGAAATGGGGTTTAATGTCCTACTGTTTTGTTTCAAAACTGGGCTAATGAAGACGGGCATACGCCATACAGTGTGCTGTGAGGGAAATTTTGCCTGGGCAGTGGCGCTAAGGCCTACTCTTATATCGAATTCCAACTGCCAAGAGATCTTTTACGTGCACGCCAATTTGTACACGGGACCTCGGTTTTTCGTACCATTCAAATGTCTAGACAGCTGTCCTTGTCAGGTCTTCCGGTCTGCATCACTGACAAGGGGAAACCACGCCGGAAAATCTGGATGAACTTTCTCGGCCAATGCAGGGATAGAACACCCGACCTCCAGGTTAGGGTCTTGGCCACATGATCCCCAAAATCAAAAAACTTTCATCAGAGAAAATATATCACTTAAACATACATTATGCAAGAGCTAAATATGTCTATTGCAGGTATTTCTTTAGGTCTGAAATGTTATCTAAACTATTAATTAGACATTAATTAATTTATCCAGACCATCATTAACTCTCGATGCCATCACTAGCCTGTGATGTTTACTGGATTTTAATACATTATGTGAGGGATGATTTAATTCAAATGGATAATCGAGACTATGTTTTTTTTTTATGGTACCGACTTTAGTAATGATGATCAATTTCGGAGTGGATCAATTTGACTGATGGTTAGAATGTGCGCGCTGTATCATAAGGCCTGTCATTGAGTCAACTGGCGTGGTTTCGTATCCCCGGTTGTACGTGACAAGGAGTAGGGTCGCCTGTCCAACCTCGTGGATTTTCTCTGGGTAAACCAATTTCCTCCCATTGCTAAAAACCTGTACACGCAAGCGAATTATTGAAATAAAATTAAACAATATGTTAGTCCCAAAAAGACCTAGTTTGTGTTGAGTGGACGTTAAACCCCATTTCTCTCTTTCTCTCCAAGTGGTGTGGTTTCAACAAGGATGTGACAAGGAGTAGGGTCGCCTGCATAGGCTTACGGGGAAATTTTTGACTGGGGGGGCGGTGGTGGTTGGTGCCCCAAAAATGTAGTTTGGTTCTTAGTATGTTACATAATAATAATAAATTCGCTGTTAAATTGGACACATTCAAGAACACAATATCCTTATTTTATACAACTTTTACAAAATACAATTGTGTGCCCAAATTTTTCCAGCATTTGGTGCCCAAAATGGGGGGGCGCCCCCAACCCCCAGCTCGTACGCCTATGGTCGCCTGTCCAACCTCGTGGGTTTTCCCAAGGTCCTCCGGTTACCTCCCACAGCTTAAGACCTCTATGCACCTTTCCGCATACATCAACTGGCGTGGTTTCAATTACCTGGTTGTACGTGACAAGGAGTGGGGTCGCCTGTCCAACCTTGTAGGTTTTCTCTAGGTCCTCCCATTGTTTAAGACCCCTACTTGCAAGAAAAATTGAACAGTATATGTTAGTCCTGAACTGACCTAGTTTGTATCGAGTGGAGAGAGAGAGATGGGGTTTAACCTCCACTCGACACAAACTAGGTCATTTCGAGACTAACATATGGTTCAATTTTATTTCAATAATTCGCTGGCACGTAGGGGTCTTTAGCAGGGCAATTCCACGCTAAAGTATACAATTAGGTGAAAAATTTAATTAGTTGATAAGTGGACAAAAATAGTGTTTTATGATTGGGAAATAATCCAAATTTTGAAGAAAAATCTCAATTTGGGTTGAAACTCTTCCGATTTTTTTTTTATTTGGTCTTGTGTCAAGGTTTACGTTGTAAATGTCGAATTTATAATTCTATTGTATTTTCTTACTTTGTGTTTGTTTGATCATAATGAATGATTTGGCATTAGTTATATGACAATGCATATAAACATAATATTTAAACATTAAAATATAAAAATAATATATTTTTGTGAAGGTAACCAACATTGAAAAATATCACTATGAGAATGTACGTTCGTTACCAAATATTTACATTTTTTGCTCTCTCATTCATATTTTTATATGGAATTCTTTAAAACTTCATATCTAAAGCTAGAATAACCCATTCTTACTATAATGACCATAAAAAGAAAAGATTTGCAAAAATTCTCAGAATATCTTGGGTTTTCATAGATGTACGTCCGTTACTTTTCACAGTATTTCATGTTACCAAATATTTCCATTTTATCTCTCTCATTCATATTTATTTATGGAACTGTTCAAAAACTCATATTAAAAGCCAACATCACATATTCTTGTTACTATGACTGTAAAAAGAAATCATTTGCCAAAATTCTCTGAATTACTTTAGGTTTCATACATGTATGTACGTCCGTTACCCAAATTTTAGGGTAAAAATGTACGTCCGTTACCCAAATTTTAGGGTCACAATATTTCATACAAGTAGTAATGTTTTTAGGAAAGTAACTGCTCCATTAATTCAAATGAGTTAACTATTATTATTATCTATAAGTTCGATTATTTGAAAGTTTACATATCTCATGTAATGGGTTAGCAATTTGCACTCGTACGTCAGTTACCAGAAAATATGTACGTCCGTTACCACAATAATTGAGAATTTACTGGGTTACAAGAATCCAAATGTGAGAAGTGATTATGCAGTACACATGTAGTATTAGTGCCCTTTCTTAAAAGGATTAAAACTTTTAAATTCTACAAGACAATTCACAGAGTTTTGAAACTATGTTCATGCAGGCAAATCATGGTGTTCATTTCTGTACGTCCGTTACCTATACTTTGAGCAGCCAATATTTATTTCCAGTGTTCATGAACAAATTAAATTATATGTCAATTGATACTTAAATCATATGTCTTTAATGCTATATAAAACTCAAACAGTTAATTATTCATGGTTAGAAAATATTGGAAGTAATAAAAATACGGCGAGTTCAAAATGTACGTCCGTTACCGTGGAATTGCCCAGCAGTGGGAGGAAACCGGAGGACCTGGAGAAAACCCACGAAGTTGGACAGGCAACCCTACTCCTTGTCACGTACAACTGGGGATTCGAAACTACGCCAGTTGACTCAATGACAGACTTTATGATACAGCACGCACGTGCTAACCATTCAGCCATCCAACCCCCCAGTATCAAGTGGGCATTAAATTATGTTTCTCTCTCTCCCCACTACTCACCTTAACATTTTTAACAACAGTGAAGGCTGGGCAGTCTAATTTATGACAGAACTTAGGTACAGTGGTAGCTTGCTGGCTGCCATCAGTCTGTTCAAAATTCTTAAGTACAGAGGAAGCTTGCTGCTGGATGCCATCAGTCTGTTCAAAATTCTCCACTAGTTTTTGTATGGGTTTAATCTTGAAATTCTCCACTAATTTTTGTATGGGTTTAACATCAACCATACGACGAAGGCTAAAATTAAAAATCAACACATGAACATTTTTTTTTTTTTATTCAAACAATATTTTTATTCATTTAAATTTACAGAATTTATATATAAAAGTTGATAAGTCCGTAACTCTATATCATCCAAAATCTTCGACATTTAAAACACAAATTTTTTTAAAATTTAAATCAACACTGGTGTTGTGGTCTTACCTGGAAAAGAAGGACTTCTGATATCCAATATTTAAGACAAAATAAACATTTTACCATTGGTACACGAATCGTGTACAATAATGCGTTTCAGCGCCATTTGCAACAAGGTGCTCAAAGAATGAGGCTAGACATATTCCACAAGTCATGTCAAATGGTAATGCATATTCTTTTTTGGAGAGCATGCACAATATATACTATCGGTGTTGACTGGATGAATAACCAGACGCTAGAAACTGTCTTTCGGGTGAGACTTCTGGCGTATTTCGCCGAACACAATACTGATGACAATTCACAGTAAAACGGAAACCATTGAATGTAAAACAGTTTATATAAATTCATATTACATTACTATATATGTTCCGACCCATTTGTGCCAATTTCTAGGCCCAAAATATTAGCAATTTAGCTCCTTTAAATACAGGATACGATAACAAACTTTATCAGCTTACATGTATATAAAATCGCTTCCTTAAAATGGATCTTTAACAGATTTGCAACTGGCAATCTTAATATAAACACAAATATACAGTATAATTGTATAAAACATATTATGTACAATTTAGATGATAATTATGGATTTCTTAAAGTTGCAATTTCATATTTTTAAGTTATATTTTTAAAATTTATTAAAATAAAGCCTTAAAATAGATGGTATCTATAAACAGTCGTACTATAATTCGCTATTGCCAGTTGAGAAATTGGCAAAAATATCATTTTCATCTTCAAATTCCAACTGTTTGAAGATAACTACTCCATGTTGGAAGTAGAAAACAAGGGAGGTAATTGTGTTATTATTTCCGGTGTAAATGAGTTTTAAGTGTGAGAATGACACCTATGATCTTATAATAGTGAGTTGACAACCTATTGAGCAAAAGACATAGAAATAATTATCTTTTGACTTTCTTAGAAAATATGAAATTGTAACTTTAAAGGGTGGAATACATAAATATACATTTGATTTAGGATTACATCTTTGTTTATTTGTTAACGTTGAGTTGTTTTTGTTTTCATATTTTGTGCTTTTTTTATTTAGATGCTCTATTCCAACATGTTTAATTTATGCTTTAAAAATTGATTGCTTTTGTTCAGTAAGATTATTTTAAAATCGATACGTACGAACACATAAACAATATAGTACACTATTACAACAGTTCAGTCTGAAATAGTCCAATCTGATTAAACAGATCCTATTTCGTTTCGTTTTTATAGTTCAAAATTTTGTTTTACTTGTTTTTACTACACTTGGATCTGGAAGAGTTCTTATTTAACTCATGTTCTGAATGGTGTCAGGGATAAGCCAATGAAACGGTCTGTTACGGCGAGCTTTAGGCGTGTTTTGCACGGAACTGTGGGTAATCCACTAGTAACATCAATGCTGATTGGTTAATCGATTGTCTGACATCATAGGTCATAAGTCAGTCTTTTGACCCCTGACGTGACCTATGGATATAACTTGTCAGATCTTCATGTAGTAGAAGCCATCAAAAGTATAAAAAAACGAAACGAAATATAGATCTGTAATTTAATCAGATTAGAAATAGTCTGTAAAGATTCATAATTCAAGAGCTAAATTGGTCTTTATGTCAAGCCTGTTCTTTGAGTCACAATTCGTGTAGGCCTACTAATGGTAAAATGTTTATTGTCTTAAATATTGGATATCAGAAGCCCATCATTTCCCGGTAAGATCACATCAATGTTGATTTAAAGGAGCTAAATCGCTAATATTTGGGACCTAGAAATTGACACAAATGGGCCGTAACGCATATAATAATGTAATAGGAATATATATAAACTGATTTACATTCAATCGTTTCCATTTTTACTCTAATTTCAAATCAGTTACGTTCGGCGAAATATGTCTGAAGTCCCAATAGAATGAAAATTTCTAGCGTCTGGTTATTCTAGTCTACATAGTATTTATTGCCCATACTCTCCCCGATATGAATATGCCGTCACCGTTTGACATGACTTGTTGAATGTCTAGCCTCGTTCTTCGAGTCCCTTGTTAGAATGGGCCTGAAACGCATTATGGTACATGATTCGTGTACCAATGGTAAAATGTTTATTTTGTCTTAAATATTGGATATCAGAAGCCCATCTTTTCCAGGTAAGATCACAACATCAATGTTGATTTAAATTGACAAATAATTTGTGTTTTCAATCATCAATTTAGAAGATTTTGGATGATATTGAGTTATAGAGACTTAGCTATTTTAAATTGAAAAATAATTGGTGTTTTTAATGTCGAAGAATGTGGATGATATTGAGTTAGACACTTACATGTAGCTACATAGTGTAGGCCTGAGTATTTTATGAATAGCCTTCAGTACAAGGAGCCCAGACATTGGTAATTTGGTTTAATAATTACACTACAGGAATTTGAATAAATCTTGTATTTACCTCTGATAAGATGACTTTAAATCAAGTCCAGGAACTATGTTACCATGGACTAACTGTAGCAAGAAAACCCAACTGATCGCCTTAAACATCATTTTGTAAAGTAGAGTGAATCTGTTGACATAAAAGCAAAACACTGTCGTTTTTGTAGTAATAATAGTGAGAGAGAGCTCTTATGTTTTATTTAGACCAGTCTATTACTATATAGGTGTTTCAGCTAGTCATTAAATAAATTTATTTTTGTGATATATTTAATAAATCTCCCTAATTTCATTTATAATCAATTTTTAATCTAGATATTTGTCCATCCTTAATTTTCGAACATAAATAGTTGAAGCATCATCAGTTTTTGAGGGATATTGATACCCCGACACCCCTACTTCTTGATTCGACTATTCTATTATCCGGGCTTTCTCACGTGGCCGTACCTCGTCCTTTGAAGTGTTTCATAACAACATAAATTTGACACCTAATCTTCAGTGTAGATGCATTTTAATTATGTATTCCAAATTTTGCGATGTCAGAATTGATCATAACAGATCCTTTACTACTGTTCAAGTGTCCTAATAAATTAATAATGTGGCTAAACAGATAGCGATGAGGCTTTTACTTTCAATTTGTTTTTATGCTAATTTGGCGGAAACTCTGTTTGGTATTAGTTATCCAGTGACGCGGCTGATATGTAAATGCAGGTTGTGTCTGGATAATCAAGCGTCTGTTTCATAACAGTCCTGATAATTGACCTACTTCAATGTCAATGACCCCAATTTTAATTCAAGGTGTATTTATTTACGCCGAGTCATTCTTTTCAATATTTTTTTTTATTTATTTTGAAATTGAAAGTCAGAACTTGTTTTGATATCTATTATTTCATCGGCGCTTCTTCTTTTTTTTTTTTTATTCTCCACGAATGGCTTTATTTTTGCAAACATAAGAATACATCTCTACTTTTGATTTGTTTACCAAATACTGTGCAAACATTTAGCTCGTATATAAATTGAATAACTTCTTTTATAAGTTTTAATATTTGTTACGTCTTTCATTCTGTGAGTTTATATCAATATTGTTTAAAAAGATAATCAAGAAAATAAGTTATGAAAGAGTAGATTACTAGATAATATTAATTACGGTACGGTAGCCTATAAAATAAATGACACTGACTGACTGAGTCCGAGGGTGAGTACAAATTGCTGATTTAGTCCAGGGGCGGATCCAGGATTTTTGCAGGGGGGGGGGGGTCATGTTCCTAAGACAATGTATCCCCCCCCCCCTCCCGCATGGTCTCTATCGTCATTTTGGCGTATATACATACACATTGAGCTTTTTAAACAGAGAAATTTAACACCTCGCTTGACGTCAATTTTTATTAGGAATAAATACAATGTCAATTCAATTTCATGGATGCAAAGCATTAATTGTGATATCACATAATGTCTATATCATTATCTCGTGCTTTGAGTGCCCATCCTGTCCCAAATCTTACGATAAAGGATAAAGCACACGGCCGAGAAACCTTTGTTGATTTACAAAAACATTTATGTAGCTGAACGGGGGGGGTGGGGGGGGGGTCGACCCCCCAAACCCCCACCTCTGGATCCGCCCCTGTAGTCTTGGTGTAATTAATTTCAGAATCAACCAAGCAGTAAATTTTGAAGATACCAGATATTCAGTTACTCTTCATTCATTAGTTGGTACAAAAAGTAAATGCCACTTTATTTCATTTACATATACGTCTGAATTTTTGGTACATAATGCAGTGTATTATGAGAAAAATTTTGCCCTGACAACAGTGTTGTGTCCTACTTTTATTTTGATTTCCAACACTAAGGGCTTTAATAATCAACAAGATGCTTTTCTATCCCAATGCCCTCCATCCCAGGCCCCTCAATCCCAAAGCCCTCCATCCTAGGCCTCTCAATCCCAAGGCACTCCATCCCAGGCCCCTCAATCACAAAGCCCTCTATCCTAGGCCTCTCAATCCCAAGGCCCTCAATTCCAGACCCCTCAATCACAAGGCCCTACATCCCAGGTCCCTCAATCCCAAGGCCCTCCATCCCAGGCCCCTCAAACCCAAGGCACTCCATCCCAAGGCAATGTATGTTTAATTATTTTTTGACAGACACAATTAAGATGACAGCATTACTGAATACAATAAAAACGGCAATTACAAGCAAAAGTTTTGGTATGCCTATCTACACCGTAGTTGAGAAAACTAAAGTAAGTATATATGGTATTAAGTCTCATGCATGACCGGGCTAATGAAGGCAAGCATACGCCATTTAGTGTGCTATGAGGGGAATTTTGCCCAGACAGCTGCACTCCGGCCAATTCTTATATCGAATTCCAACTGCCAAAGGATCTTTTACGTGCACACCAATGTGGGACCTTGGTTTTTTGTACCATCCAAACAACTACATGTTGTCCCTTGCCAGGCCTTCTGTTTTGTACCACTGACAAACCACACCGGAAAATCTGGATGAACTTTCTCGGTCCAATACAGGAATCGAACACCGGACCTCCAGGTTCTCACGAATGAAAGACTAACTGGGCACACAATTTTATCTTTTGTACCCAAATCTCAACTTGCACTATTGTTTCAAGAGAGAGAAAGAAATAGAGTTTAATGTCCACTCGACACAGACTAGGTTATTTCGGGACTAACATATGGTTTAATTTTATTTCAATAATTTGCTTGCGCGTAGGGGTCTTTAGCAATGGGAGCAAACCGGAGGACCCAGAGAAAAATCACGAGGTTAGAAGGCAACCCTACTCCTTGTCACGTACAACTGGGGATTCGAAGCCACGCCAGTTGATTCAATGACAGGCCTTATGATACAGGGTGCACGCGCTAATCATTCGGCCATCCAACCCAGCTATTGTTTCGAAGGATAGGGGTATTGGTAATATTCGTAGGCGTGGATTCAGAGGAGGGTTCAGGGCGGGTGGGGGGGTGGGTCATCTCCTCCCAACCCACTCAGCTACAGAAAATGTTCGTAACACAACACTTTTCATGAGAAAGGTGTCACGGCCGTGTGCTTTATCTGAGACATGTTATTTTAGAGTAATGTAAACAGGTCAATTTCTTGAAATTTATCGCATATCGCAGCCTGGTACCATGCCGAAAACGGCACGCTTAAACCGGGCTTATGAAATGATTTCTTTTATAATTTTATTATTGCTTGACAGACATATGAAGAAAGACGTTATCCTGAGACGAGATGGGTCAGTACTAAAGTAGAGGGCATGTTTCATAAAGAATCCAGAAGCACAGGTTTTAGGAGACTGTTTAAGTATCTTCAAGGTGATAATGAACCAAGTAAGTCAGAGAGAAGAGAGAGAGAGAAATGGTCTGCTCAACACAAACTACTTCATTTCAGGACTAACATATGGTTCAACTTTATTTCAATAATTCGCTTGCGTGTAGGGGTCTTTAGCAGTGGGAGGGAAACCGTTCTGCACCACTGAAAAGGAGAAACCACGTCAGAAAATTCAGAGAAACTTTCTCTGACAACACCGGCAGCGAACCCGCGTCCGCCAGTCTAGCGAGCCAGCATCTTACCCGTATGTCTCAAATTGACAAAAATATTTTGTTAACAAGGGTTAAAACCCCATTCCATTGTCTTTTAGGTCAGAAAGTCGACATGACAGCACCAGTAGCAACTAAAATACATCCAGGAGCCGGACCCAACTGTGAAAGTACTTTTACAGTTTCGTTCTTCATCCCACCAGAGAATGCAGATAATCCTCCAGTACCGACTAGTCCCGATGTTTATTTAGAAACCTGGCCACCTCAAACTATTTACACAAAGTAAGTTATTCCCTTTTTGAATCCCCCCCCCACCTTTTTACAGAAGATATTCTTTCAGCTAAAAACATCTACTCTAAAAACCATGATCTGTCGTAAGTGTACCATATTCGCAAACTGAGTTTATCCCCTTTCACAGAAGCTGGATAATCGAGACTATGTTTTTTATCGTACCGTCTTTAGTAATGATGGTCGAGGCTAGGCCAGAAAATCAGTCTCTAATATCTCTGTTCAGAGTGGAGCAATTTGACTGCAATTTTCAGCATATTCCCTTTACACTATCTTAATTTTGACTATTATAGTGAGAACTGCCAGCTCCTTATCTGATCTTCCATAATGCATCTTTAAACAGTTTGATACTTACCCATACCTAAATAATATATTGACCACCCTGGGAGTCCATGTTGAATTACACTTTATTACATCATTAAAAACCATAGCACAGGTCATGGAATCGGTGACAAATTCTAAAATTTGGCACCAACTTTATTTTACTTTCTGTATTTGTTTCTATTTCAGACAATTTGATGGGTCTCCTAGTGATGATAACTTTGTTTCAAATGCCCAAGAATTAGGTCAAGCACTGAGTGGTAAAAACATAAACCCAAATATTTGGTTTACGGCCAGTTATGATAGTCCCTTTAAAATGTTTAATAAAAGAAATGAGGTTTGGTATTTAAAACTTGTCGAAGAAAACAAAACAATAAATGAAAACTAATATGTATTTTTTTTTAGTAGTCTCGGTCACCCAGAACCTCCTAGTCTTTAACGTACAGAGGGTCTGGCTGGACCATTGTTAATATTTGACGAAAAGTCCATTGCCCATGCCTAACTGGAAGTTTGGTTTTTAATGCGGTTGATTATCCAGTATCCTTGGACAAGTGAAGAGTTGCAATAAATCCCATAATTCTTGCATTAATATAAACAAATATGAATCGTGACAACGAATTAGGATTAATTTAAAAAACATAGATATGGCCCATGAAGAGAGAAATTTTACAATAAAAACAAATTAAAGACTGTCTGATATTGAACTGGCATGGAATCAAATAGATTTTTTGAAATGGCATTCTTAAATTAATTTCATAGGCATCAACATCTTGTTTTAGGACTAGTTACCTCCCTTAGACACTGTTTATGATCATGTAAAAGACTGGATAATCTAGCCAATGACCTATTATTCTCAAATGTTGACAACACATCCAGACTAATATTCATAGAATATTTTTCTGGACGATAAAGACTAGTTTTTTTAACGAAATTGAAATATATATGAAATACATGTAGTTGCAGCTTTGATGAAAATTACAACAGATCACCATGAACTTATAAGGTCGATGATATCACACAAAAGGAACATCACTAAGGAACATTACTTCACTCGTAGATCATTTCGAGACTAACGCATGATTCATTTTTATTTCAATAATTTGCTTGCAGGTAGGGGCCTTTAACAGTGGAAAAACCCGAAGAAAACCCACATTGTTGGACAGGCGACTCTACTTCTTGTCACATACGAGCGGGGAATCAAATAAAAGTGGAGGAAAAGTAGGAGTAAATACGACTATCTGGGCAAAGAGTAATCTTAGGATTAGGAATGGAAATTACAATGTGTTTGTCTGAAAATGACTGGGGGATAGGATGGCCGTGTGGTTACCACGCGCGCGCTGTATCATAAGGCCTGTCATTGAGTCAACTGGTGTGGTATCGATTCCCCGGTTGTATGTGACAAGGAGTAGGGTGGCCTGTCCAACCTCGTGGGTTTTCTCCGGGTCCTCCGGTTTCCTCCCACTACTAAAGACTCCTATTTGTGTCTGACTGACATATTTGTTTCTTTTGGCTGAAAGTGTCTTTTACTATTTGAATTTGTTTTCTATTCATGTATAATTTATTATAGTATTTATTCTATTCATGTATCATATTTTTATTTTGTTAATTTTATTATATTGTTCTGTTTATAATAAAATATTCTATTTTTATTATTTCTATATATTATTCCTCAGGATTTTATTGCCAGGTTTATTTAGTCAGTGGTGCATGCTGGAGAGACAGAAAAAATACGAGGCTTAACCCACATGACTTAAACTAGTTCATTCTGTGACTAACATATGGTACCATTTTATTCCAGTAATCTGCTTGTACATGGGGGTCTTTAGCAATCCAAGGAAACTGGAGGACCAGGAGAAACCCACAAGGTTGGACAGACGACCCTACTCCTGGTCACACACAAGCGGGGAATCAAAACCACACTAGTTGACTCAATGACATACCTTCTGATCCAGTGCTCATGTGTTAATCATTCTACTACCCAACATATAAATAACATCAACATTATACTAGGACAGGGTAGGGGGCAATTTAACACTCCCTTAAAAGGCTGGATCAAAACTGATGCAGGCAGGACATTAAAGATGGGTTCCCGCGTACAAACTGGGTGATTTAATGGTATATTTGGACTAAAAACATATTCAAACTAATTAATTTGTCATAATTTTGCTTCAAATCTTTCTCAAACATTGTAATTGCGAAGGAATGTCCTGCTATAAAATTTGATCAAACCAGGTCACGTTTACGTCACGTGACTTACCTCTCTTGGAAGTCAGAGGAGAATTCATTGCATACATAAGACGATGTTGTCTTTAATCGCTTACTATTTATTACAAATATCGAATCCTAATTATATTCTCGGATTATCCACTACCCGCGTCTTTTTCCGTCATTTTTATCTCAGAAAGTGTTGTACGTCTAACTCTTCATGAAGTTTATCAACTTGTACATTAAGCGCTCAATGTTCGCGTGTGACCTTTGAAATCACGCGTGCAGAAATTCCTAATCGTCGGGCTGTTAATTAGGGAAACCGTTACATTTTTGTCCTGTATACGCTCTATGAGTGTTTTTCGGGGAATCCAGTATTTTTGTAGTAAGATTGGATATCTCTACTTTCCATACATACCAAAATTACCCTACTTTTATTGGAAATAACCACCCGATAAATACTTTTCTGGGAACCCATCTTTAATAGAAGATAAACCTGTTTACATTACGAATTTCAAGCGTGCCAGACAAGGTACCAAACAGGGCACATTTAATTTTGTTGTAGTGTAAACAGGTCGAACATACGCGTGCTAATTTGGCCCACTGAAGTGAGGGGGTCTCGGCGCGGTGCCAGGCACAGCACAGTTAAATTTCTGTAGTGTAAACACTATCCTTGCCAATTTGGCCCACTGAAGTGAGGTGGTCTCGGCACGGCACGGTTAAATTTCTGTAGTGTAAACACTATCCCATCTGAGAACAGTTCTCAGTACGGATTACTGCACATGCGCCAAATGAACCTTGACCTTTTTCCCACAAACAATGACAGTTCTGTCGTAAGTTCTGTAAAAATTGATGCTAAAATAAATCAACCGCCATAATTTGCATAGGGACAGAAATTAAATTTTCTGTAAAGAGTTCCACATTTGGCGTGTCTGGCACAGTTCCGAGACCGTTTATTGTAGATTAACGTAATTTCTTAAAATTTGTCATGGCCTGGTACTGTACCGAAAACTGCATGCTTATCGCGACCAGGGCTATAGTGCATACCTGAAGTCCCCACAGAACAAAGTAAACCAGATAAATTTTCTTTCTGTAAACAAACTTTAATTTTGTTGCCAACTAATATAAAAACTATTGAATATTTTATTTAATAAATGTGTTTTATCTTCATTAAGCTAGTATATTGTCAATATTTACTTTGTTTTCTTAAATTAATAACAATATAACTACATGTACATTAAACATTACAGTAGATGAGTGGGTAAGACGCTGGCTCGCTAGTCTGGAGGTCGGGTGTTCGAACCCTGCATTGGCCGAGAAAGTTCATCCAGATTTTCCAGCGTGGTTCCCCCTTGTCAGTGATGCAGGTTGGAGGGCCTGACAATGACAGCTGTCTAGTCATTTGGATGGGACGAAAAACCGAGGTCCCGTGTACACATTGGCGTGCACGTAAAAGATCGCTTGACAGTTAGAATTCGATATAAGAGTAGGCCGTAGTCAGGAGCTTTTTATGGCAACTGCACAATTTCATAAACAGAAAAACTGGAAATGAAGTATATTTTTCTATAAATAACACTTAAATAAAGTAAAGATTCCATCAAATGATTTTAGCCAATTTGGAAATGAAATGAAATGAAATGAAATGGGGTTCAACGGACTACTGTTTTGTTCCGAAATGGGCTAATGAAGACGGGCATTTGCCATACAGTGTGCTATGAGGGACAGCAACCCTACGGCTACTCTTATATCGAATTCTAACTGTGTACATGGGACCTCAATTTTCCGTCCCATCTGAACCACTAGAGAGCTGTCCCGGTCAGGCCCTCCTTCCTGCATCGCTAACAAGGGGGAACCACGCCGGAAAATCTGGATGAACTTTCTCGGCCAATGCAGGGAACAAACACCTGACCTCCCGTCTAGCAAGCCAGCGTCTTACCCACTGTGATCCCTAGCCAGTTTGGCCTCAAGATCTCTCCTCAGCTGACAGGTCTGTACATTTAGAGGGTTTTCCTTCAGCGTGAATTTTCATGTGTTTTGTTAAATTCCCTTTCTGGGTGCACGTTTTTCCACAGACGGGACATGTATAGGGTTTATATCCCGTATGGGATCTCATGTGCGTCCTTAAGTGACCACCGGTAGTACACGATTTACCACAAACATCACATTTATAGGGTTTTTCACCCGTGTGGGTTCTGATGTGTTCCTTAAGTTCGCTACTCTGAATAAACGCTTTATTACAAACCCCGCATTCGTAGGGTTTCTCCCCCGTATGACTTTTCACATGTCTCCTTAAATGACTTTTATCATAAAACGATTTCGTGCAAACATCGCATTTATAGGGTTTTTGTCCGGAATGAACGATCACATGTCTTTTCAAAACACTGCTTTCACTGTAGGCCTTCCCACAAACATCACATCTGTAAGCTTTTTCGCCAGTATGGACTCGCATGTGTTTACTCATCCCATTTTTATCAACAAACGACCGATCGCAAACACTGCATTTAAACGGCTTCTCCCCTGTGTGAAGTCGGACATGTTTCTTTAGGTGATGTGGTTTGCTGAAAGCTTTATTGCAAACATCACATATAAAACGCTTTTCACCTGTATGAATAGTCATATGTGATTTTAGGTTGCTATTGTTGATAAATGATTTACCACAAACATCACATATAAATGGTTTATCGCCGTGAATAGTAATATGGGCTTTCAAATTTTTATTATTTTTAAATGATTTACCACAAACATCACATTTAAAATTTTCTGTGTTGACCTCTTTGTTATCGCAAATTGTGCTTTCAACTGATGTAGTATCTTCTATATTAACTGTTTCAATATCATCAGTTTTCTCAACTTTAACATGGGTTTGTCTGTGATTTCTTAGTGTATGATACTCTTCAAAAATTTCATCACATACAGTACATTGATGGAATGTTTTAATATCATCAGTTTCCTGTAATATATAAAAGTTATAACATCATTAGTTTCCTGTAATATATAAAAGTTATAAGATCATTTTATTCCTGTATATAAAAGTTTATGCCCAACATTTTGTTTGTGCATCATTATTTGTTTCATCAGTTTCTCTGGGTGTCCTGTGATGTGAAGGCAATGGCAACAGTCTGGTTGATAGCAGTGGAGATGTCAATAAGGCTATATTGGACAACTTTTATAAATTTTACGGTGGAGGACTCCCCATTCTCACACATACCCCCAATGACAGTGGCGCTCATTTTCGACAAAGGAATCTAAACAGAAAATATTTTCTAACATATCATTCGTAACCCACTCTCCCCCAAGGGATGTAATTCAGGTGGACACAGAGTGGGATTTCGGTTCCAAAGCCATCTTCACATTAAATGTCCAAATAAGGCTATATTGGCTCACAGGGTATTTTATTTCTGCTTCCCAGAGCTAGAGAAAGAGAGAGTGAAATGGGGTTTAACGTCCACTCAACACAAACTAGGTCATTTCGGGACTAACACATGGTTTAATTTTATTTCTATAATTCGCTTGCGCGTAGGGGTCTTTAGCAGTGGGAAGGACCCAGAGAAAATCCACGACAGACTCTATGATACAGCACGCACATGCTAACCATTCGGCCATCCCACCCCCTTCCCAGAGCTGATCAGACTCGTACACCTAGGTAAATGGCCACCTGTTGTGATGGCTTGCCAACCAGTTCAATTATACATGCCGTTTAAAGTAATGTGGTGATTTTGCCTTGTACATGTACGTGTATAATACAGGATAACCTGGACTACATGTACTTCCACCTTTCCACTGAGTCCCGTATTACCAGTGTTATCTATCACATTCACTGCGGCTACAGTTCAGATTATGCTTATAGACTTAAAATTTAAGGCACGTTACAGGCATCATATGATGTCTCATTTGATAATGAGAATTGACGAATGCAGCGATTTAGTGACGTACGTGAATCTCCTGACGATGAAGACGACAATATACCACTTGCTCGACTCATGGAGTCCTTGGTGCCTGATACAAACGCGACTGAAGGCGATTTTATAAATTTTGACAATGAAATCCCAACAGAGTGTGACGACGACCTGGACATAGAACGACAGATTATTAATGAACACGTGACTGCAAAGACAGTGTGCAATTAACTGCAGACAGAGACGAAGAAGAAGATAAATTGACGACAGACTTGAGGTTTTCAAAATGTCTACGCATGCTAAATCAAATAAAAACATTCGCACAGATTAAGGACGATACGATCGTAGACAAGATTTGAGTGCTAGAAGATTGTGTGCAGGACTCGGCGTTACGGTATGCATCCGAAAACCAAAAACAAACAACTTTACGTGATTACATCTATATGCATATAAAATAAATTGTAAATCTGTAAATACATGTATGCTGTTATTGTTAGAAATTTTAATGTAATAAAATTTTGAATGTACAGAAAGGATTATTATTTTTAAAGGGAATAGCGTTCTGGTGATTCGAAGCCACATTATTCCGGTTTTGAGAAAATTGAGTATTCAGACACTCTGCGTAATCGGACATATTATTATTATGACGATCCCGTATGATATCGAATTAGACAGAGTCCACTGTACATGTATTCCAAAACATCTTGATTTGCCAATTGTTGAACTGAAATACTCTTTTATATTTATCCCTACGGTGACTACGTACAGTATCCTACTGTCAGTGGTGCAGAACGGAGGGCCTGACAAGGACAGCTGTCTAGTCCTTCGGATGAGATGAAAAACAGAGGTCCCGTGTATACATTGGAATGCACGTAAAAGATCCCTTGGCAGTTGGGATTCGATATAAGAGTAGGCGATAGTGCCGCTGCCCGGGCAAAATTTCCCTCATAGCACACTGTATGGCGTATGCCTGTCTTCATTAGCCCAGTATAGGAGCAGAACAGTAGGACTTTAAACCCCATTTCATTTCATTTCATTTCCTATTTAATCAATTGATAGGAATTGTTGCTAATAATGGATTTTTATGTGTTTAACGTCTTTGAGAATTTAATAATAAAAATCTCTTCAATAAACTAAATTCTCAGTCTCACCATAGCTGTCTCTAATATTCAGTCTTTGTGTAGTGTGCAACTATTAATGTATAAAAGTGGCAATCTACACCCAATGATTGAATGAATTTCGATAATTATCAATATCTGAAATAGTGCCGGTACGTTTTGAAGTAACCACGTACGCACTGATTCAAATTATGGCAAATGTAAAAAAACATGTCACAATTATCTGAATAGTGTTTAAATTAAAACAATAAGCATAATTTCAAGACTATAAATATTCTTGCAGTGACAGCCGCGAAAAAATAAATTGATCTATTATTTTATTTTTCTAAGATTATTCTTCTGGGTCATCAATTTCCGGTGGCGCTGCTTCATAATATGTAATATATATAGATTTTAGACGCGGATCCATCTGACACGAATGTTCCATAATTAACAAGGGTTCAAAGATACATTCTCACGAAAGTATTTATAGGGTAACTATTTCCTATAAAACTATGGCAAATTTGGTATAAATGAAAAGTAGAGACGGCAATCTTATTAGAAATTTGCTGGATTCCCTGAAAAACACTCATGGGGCAAGCACTGGGCAAATATGTCAGGGTATCACTAACAGGCAACCTGGTTGCTTAATTATTGTCTGCCAGCACTTGCTATTTCTTGATCGAATGGTTAAGCGGTTTTGGGAACATTTAGGGGATTACATGTAAATGTACAAAAGACCCTGCAATTAAACAGTGGAACAGGAAGTTGGCAGAATTCAAGGATTAACTTAGGCTTCAATATATGGCAAATGGACAGTAAGTATAACAACAAATATATTCTGAAAATGGGCCCTCACTCAATCAAGTTACATGACAAATATATTCTGAAAATGGGCCCTCCCTCAATCAAGTTACATGACAAACATGGCATCTAAAAATAGATTTGTAATATCTTGGGGTATTTCCTCGTGAATACAATGTTTTGAGATATATTTGATTGCAAATTTTTGATAGATTGTTTAGTTTGAATATGTTCTGAATCCAAAAATACGATCAAATCACCCACTTTGTACGTGGGAAGGCATCTTTAATAGGCCTACTGAATCACTTCCTGTCTTCAATATTGTGAAAATTAAATCTCCAAAAGAAATATCTGTCGGGCCTACAAATATTAAATTTTGTTAACTACAATTTATTTCTGTTAACAGTGGGAGGAAACCGGAGGAACCAGAGAAAACCCACGAGGTTGAACAGGCGACCCTGCTCCTTGTCAGTACAACAGGGGAATCTAACCCACGACAGTTGACTCAGTGACGGACCTTATGATACAACGTGCAAGCTAACCAATCGGCCATCCACCTGAAATGAAATGGGGTTTAACATCCTACTGTTCTGCTCCGACTGGGCTAATGAAGACAGGCATACGCCATATAGTACGTGTGCTATGAGGGAAATTTTGCCCGGACTCTGATATTGAATTCCAACTTCCAAGGGATTTTTTACGTGCATGCCACCTCGGTTTTTCATCCCATCCAAATGACTAGACAGCTGTCCTTGTCAGGCCCTCCGTCCAGCACCACTTACAAGGGGAATCCATGTCAGAAAATACTGATGAACATTCGACCTCCAGGCTAGTGAGCCAGAGTCTTACCACCATGACCCACTTTAGTCAGTTATGGATAACTATTGTTTTCCTTTTGTTTTTGTCACTTCGGTTTCTTCAAATCTTCATCTATTGTAGCAATAATTATATTTAGACCATGTTTAACCAGTGTGATAATGGCTGACACCAATAGTGTCCTTTACATTTGACTAAGAAACTCAATAACTAAACATACTCTTTTCAATTTTTTTAATAGTAAAATATTTTAAGCTACAGCCCGTACAGTAAACCAGAGTTCCTGATAGTTGAATTTGCCGCCCTGAAAATAACCACCTCTACCAGCCTAAAACATACATCATGCAAGAGCTAAATCTGCCCATCACAGCTCTTTCTTTAGGCCTGAAATGTTATCTAAATTATTAATTAGACATTAATTAACTTATCCAGACCATAATCAACTCTTCATGTCAATGCTAGCCTGCGATCTTTACTGAATTAGGATCCCATTTGCTGCTCAACTTTCATTCATGATTTAATCATGAAATGGATAATCAAGACTAATTTTTTTTATCGTACTGACTTTAGTAATGATGATCAATGATTAAATCGCTAAAATCTCGGTTCAGAGTGGATCAATTGAACTGAAATTTTTAGCAAATTCCCTTTACTTTATTTAGTTTTTAACTATTATAGTGAGAACTGTCAGCTCATTATCTAATCTCCAAAAATGTATCTTTAATTATTCATTCCATTAATTCTCATTTACAGCTTGAATCTCAACTACCCACACTGATCAGCAGTGAATATTCGCTAGGCCAATATAATCACTGATAAGGATGACATCGATACGACTTAATGAGCCACAAATATTAACTTTTTTCCTTTGGCTAATTCGGATCTTCTTTTAACTTGGATAGAATTGGTCAGTCCACTTAGATCCGAATTATGCGAAGTTTACTGTATATACAGTCTGAGTTTAACAAGCATCTACCAGAAATTTAATGTTTTATTGCAACCAGATATACAACTACCCATACTGATCAGCAGTGAATATTCGCTAAGCAGCTACAATCACTGAGAGGGATGACATCGATGCGACTTGATGAGCTCGTGATATTAACTTTTTCCCATCCGTAAATTAAATTCTAAAACATTTTTTTGTGGTATTAGAAAAATAAATAAATGTATTTTAATTTTGATTAGATAAAAAATAATTCCTATATACATGTAGTGTAAATGGGAATTTAAAATGAGTAAAAGGCACCATTTTGTCCAGACCTATGAACACAACAACATCTTATGAAAACAATGCACATGCCATAGAGTCAATGATGGACGCCCTGTGATGTGATGTCACCTGTAGAAGGGAGAGAGAGAGAAATGGGGTTTAACGTCCACTCGACACAAACTAGGTCATTTCGGGACTAACATGTGGTTTAATTTTATTTCAATAATTCGCTTGCGCGTAGGGGTCTTTAGCAGTGGGAGGAAACCGGAGGACCCGGAGAAAACCCACGAGGTTGGACAGGCGACCCTACTCCTTGTCACGTCAACCGGGGATTTGAAACCACGCCAGTTTACTCAATGACAGGCCGTATGATACAGCACGCACGTGCTAACCATTCGGCCATCCAACCCCCCACCTGTAGAAGGCATACTTAAACTTATAAAGGTCAGTCATAAGACAGGGGTATAAGAAGGCTTCCACAACCTTCAGGCTTCAACTCTTGTGGAACAGATTGTATCCTCATGTATTTTATGATCAGTAGTGGAATACCGCGTTTTATCAGTGAAATAAAAGTGTTATTCCACTGGCTAGCAGTGAAATAAAACTTGTTATTTCACTGGCGGCCGGGACTTTTTTTCTGGAGTTACACTTTTTAGTGACAAAATTATGAAAACAATATGGCCGACACGCCGACTTGTCGATCGTTACATTCTCAAAGGTATTCATACACCAGAAGCAGATAAAGATGTAAAGCGGTCTAACCCCCCGCGTTGTCAAAGCGGACAAAGTAGTCCATGTTGTTTTTACCTAAAATGATTGTAGAATCATAAAATAAATAAAACATTTGTCGTTTTGTCGTGAATAACATATTTTATTTCATCTCGAAGCAAGAAAACGTTTATATTTTCACTCATGCTTCTACATTCGTGAAAATGTAAGTTTTCTTGCTTCTCGATGAAATAAAATATGTTATTCACTCTAAAACGACAAATATCCTCTATATATTCATAATTAATTCAATCCGATTAAAACACAGCTCCTATTTCGCTTCGTTTTTTATAGTTTTCTTGTATTTACTACACTAGGATCTGAAAGAGTTGTTATATAACCCGCATTCTAGTTGAAGTAAGGGATTAGCCAATGAAACGGTCTGTTACGCCGAGTTCTTGGTGTGTGATGCACGAAACTGTGCGTTAAGTTGTTAACCACTAGAAACATCAACACTGATTGATTAATCAATGTCTGATGTCATAGGGTCAAAAGCCGCTCGTATGACCCCTGATGCGAATTTCCACTACATCTGGTAAGATCTTCATGTAGGTCATCAAAATTATATAAAAAAAAAAACCGAAACGAAATATCAATCTGTATTTTAATCAGACTGTGATTTACTACAAATTAAGATATTTTTTTCTTTTTCTTCCGTATGCATTTTCATGTGTGTCTGAAGATTACCCTTCTGGGAGCAACATTTACCACAAACATCACATTTATAAGGTTTCGTCCCAGTATGAATTCTCATGTGTTTCTTTAGGTCCCCACTGATAATACATGAATAACTACAAACATCACATTCATAAGGTTTATCACCAGTATGAAATCTGGCATGTTCCTTCAGTTTGCTTCTATGACCAAATGTCTTGTCACAAACCTCACAATTATACGATTTCATTCCAATATGACTTTCCACATGTCTCGTCAAATCCCTTTTATCGGTAAATGTTTTACTACAAAAAACACATTTGTGAGGTTTTCCTCTAGTATGAGTTAACAGATGTCTCTTTAGAACACCAATTTCACAGTATGCTTTCCCACAAATATCACACTTAAAAGTTTTCTCGCCAGTATGACCTTGCATGTGCCTACTGACGCCATTTTTATTAACAAACAATTTATTGCAAACATCACATTTAAAGGGTTTTTGACCTGTATGAATCTGGGCATGTTTCTGTAGATGATGTTTTTTATTAAATCGCTTATCACAAATATTACATACAAACGGTTTTTCACCGGAATGAATCGTCATATGTGACGCTAAATTCCTATTTCTGTTAAATGATTTACCACAAACATGACATATAAATGGTATTTCTCCACTGTGAATTATAACATGCGCTTTTAAATTCTTACTAATCTTAAATGATTTACCACAAACATCACATACATATGGTTTTTCACCGGTATGAATATTAACATGTGCTTTTAAATTCTTATTATTCTTAAATGATTTATCACAAACATCACATTCAAATTTTTTGTCGACGTTTATTTCAGGGTTTTTATTAAACCAGATATTTTTGACAAATGTTCTTTTTTCACTGGTTCTGTTTTCATGTGAAATATTTTCTACTGTTTCTTCCTGTAAATCATAACGAACGGTTTCAACGTCATCAGGTTTCTCAACTTTAACATGTATTTTACTGTGCTCTTCTAAATGATCCTTTTGCTGAAACATTTCATCACATACAGTACATTGATGGTATGTTATAACATCATTAGTTTCCTGTTTTATATCAGTCATAACATCATTAGTTTCCTGTTTTATATTAGTTATAACATAATCCTGTTTTATAGAAGTTATAACATCATTAGTTTCCTGTTTTATAGAAGTTATAACATCATTAGTTTCCTGTTTTATATTAGTTATAACATAATCCTGTTTTATAGAAGTTATAACATCATTAGTTTCCTGTTTTATAGAAGTTATAACATCATTAATGTCTTGTTTTATAGAAGTTATAACATCATCAGTTTCTTGTTTTATAGAAGTTATAACATCATCATCAGCTTCCTGTTTTATAGAAGTTAATATAACACCATTAGTTTCCTGTAATATAGAAAATTTATAACATCATTAGTATCCTCTAATATATAAGTCATTAGTTTCTTGTAATATAGAAAAGTTACAACATTATTAGTTTCCTGAAATATATAAAATTTATAACATCATTAGTTTCCTGTAATATGTAAAAGTTATAACATCGTTAGTATCCTGTAATATATAAGTCATTAATTTACTGTAATATGTAAAAGTTATAATTAAACGTCATTAGTTTCCTGCAACATATAAAAGTTATAACACCATTAGTTTCCTGTAATATATAAATTTTATCACATCATTAGTTTCCTGTAATATATAGAAGTTATAACATCATTAGTTTCCTGTAATATTTAAAAGTTATAACATCGTTAGTTTCCTGTAATATTTAAAAGTTATAACATCATTAGTTTCCTGTAATATACAGAAAAGTCATAACATCATTAGTTTCCTGTAATATATAAAAGTTATAACATCATTAGTTTCCTGTAATATATAAACATTATAACGTTATTAGTTTCTTGTAATACAGTGGACTCTGTCACATCTAACATCGTACGGGATCGTTACAATATTTCGGATCACACAGCGTGTCGGAATACCGAGCTTTCTCCAAAACCGGAAATACTGTAACTTCGAAAACCGGAAGTATTTTTATATTGTAGCTTCGAATCACCAGAATGGTATTCCCTTTAAAAATGATAAACCTTTCTGTACTTTAAAAATTTTATTACATTAAATAATTAACAATAACAATGCATGGTGTAAAATCGTTTCTTACTGCAGTTTAAATTATCGGCAAACTTCTGTTTAAATTCATCTTTACGCTTTAATATGTCTGACACTGTAGCTCGGCCAATTGAATACTTAACGGCTAATTCCTTCTGCGCAGGTTGTGGAACTTTCTCGAAATCTTCTATAAGTTGCCGCTTTACATCTAATGTCAAATCAGTTCGGGCACGCTTTGCACGATGTTCAGACATTTTGAATACAATAATGTATAATGATTCTTCAATCGGGGAAATTTTTATATAATGTCGCGGTATTTGACATGAGTAACTAAAATCAAATACCAAGCGCACTCTTACAAGAGATTATAAATTGTAAAATAATCAACAAAGAATTTATAACATTATCAAAGTAATCAACTCAGACCGGCGCTTGCGTGTTTTAATCTCACCGATAATTGATTGGTGATTGCTTGTTAATCTTTTCTGGCTTCACACCCATTGAGTTTAATCTCACCGATAATTGGATGTGAAGGGACGGCTGATTGATGTCGCAATCCGGAACATACAGAATCCGGATTTACCAGCGATTTTCAGGCTGAAGTAATAAGGAAATAAATCGGGACATGAAAATCATGTCGGATGTCACAGCAATCCAGAGTGATCAGACATTGGATGTGACAGAGTCCACTGTATATAAAAGTTATAACATCATTGTTCCCCATCATATATAAACGCATGTACATGTACATGATTACGTGAAAGTTATAACATCATTATCCAATTTAAGGATGGCAACATTTCTAATTTGCTCTATCAAAAGTTGAACGCACCGAAGCAAATGTTCACGCTCAAATGTCATGGAACACAGAAGTATGTTCTATTGTAGAAATATATAGAGACGCAATGTCCTTGCGAAGAGTATAGCGTTATCACGTTGTATTCTGTTGTGTAAAATGAACATTTCAAATTTCCTTTCAAGGGGCCTACTGCTGTAGTAAATTGTAGGCTTATATCATATGAGGGGGGTTGGATAGCCGAATGGTTAGCATGTGTGTGCTGTATCATAGGGCCTGTCATTGAGTCAACTGGCGTGATTTCGAATCCTCGGTTGTACGTGACAAGGAGTAGGGATGCCTGTCCAACCTCGTGGGTTTTCTCCGGGTCCTCCGGTTTCCTCCAACGGCTAAAGACCCCTACGCGCAAGCGAATTATTGAAATAAAATTAAACCATATGTTAGTCCCGAAATGACCTAGTTTGTGTCGAGTGGACGTTAAACCCCATTTCTCTCTCTCTCTATATCATCTGATTATAATATACGCTTCAAAAAAAGTAGGGGATATTGAAATGCAAATACCTATGCAGGTTGTGATATGATAAATAGTCTAGTAAAGATAATCCCCCAGGAACAAACTAGATCAACACTGGTGAAGATTATACTGATTTAAATTCACACAGTGTTGATCTAGTTTGTTCCTGAGGGATTATCTTTACTAATCTATTCTACACGGACTGGTTCCTGCTCTCCCTCAGATGCATCACTGAGATCCAAACCGGACCACATTGTTACAGGGGAATCTTCCGCCCTCCTACTTTTTCGAGTGTGGGGGTTTCATCGTCTCTTTGACTTGGAATTTTTATGATAAATAGTCATAGACACTTGACATGCTTTGAGACTATGTTCACAGATGAAGAACTTATCACCCCAATGGCAACAGAACCAATGAGCTGCACATGTGACACGCAATAGCGTCATGCACGTGGGAGGGGTTCATTGTCAAATTTGACACTTCAAGGAAGGGTTGATGATAACTGCCGCTTGCTGGTTTATCCTATCCATATCTGCTTTCCTATAGGTTCTTGCATAAGATTTACTGTTTAGCGTATCTTTGCCTTAGTGTGTTACGTTTAATTTGATCCGGAGACATGTTCGTCGATGTCAACGTCAACCAACAACACTGCAAGAATTGCCGTGGCACTGCAAGAGGAGTGGGTCAGATTGCCCCAAATCGTGATTGAACGGTTAAATAGGAGGATTGGTGGAGCAATTACTCATTATTAAGACAAAAATCAAAAACGTCCATTTTCACTTTTGACGGTGTATCTTTTTGCAAGTGAAATGGAGCCGTCAGATAAGCCGCCCATATGAACTGTTTATGTTCATGTGTAGGCAATTGGCCTGTTATTAACATACACTGGTTACCTCTAATAAAAACAGCAGTGCATTTCCGCAGTTTTGTATTGTTTCTGAATGTCCCTACTTTTTTTGAAGAGTATATAAAGAAAATGGTAATGGAAATGTACAGAAAAAAATACATATGACACTTACCAATGGTTTCCTGGCAGGTAATTCAGGTGTTATTGTAGTCTTTCCAGGTAGATGTCGAGTAGGTAAACTCCCAGGTTTTAACCGTCTTCTTATTTTTCCAGTACTGGTAGTAGCTGTAATATAAATATCAATAATTTTAGGAAATGAAATGAAATGGGGTTAAATGTCCTACTGTTCTGTTCTAACTGGACTAAGGAAGAAGGGCATACTCCATATTATGAAGGAAATTTTGCCAAGGGATCTTTTACGTGCACACCAATGTATAGAAGGGACCTCAGTTTTTCATTCCATGCGAATGTCTAGACAGTTATCCCTGTCAGGTCCTCCATTCAGTACCACTGACAAGGGGAATCCATGTTGGAAAATCCTGTTGAACTTTCTCTGCCAATGCAGGGATCGAACATGTGACCTCCAGCTGTAATGTAAATATTAATAATTCTAGGAAAGTTTTTGTACCAATACCATTGAACATTGCTTAAGATAAACAATGTATTGTTGGATATCTAGAAATAAATGAAATGAAATGAAATGGGGTTTAACGTCCTACTGTTCTGCTCCGACTGGACTTATGAAGACGAGAATACGCCATACAGTGTGCTATAAGGGGAATTTTACCCGGACAGCAGCACTACGGTCTACTCTTATATCGAATTCCAAATATCAAGGGATCTTTTATGTGCACGCCAATGTGTACACGGGACCTCAGTTTTTCGTCCCATCAAAATGGCTAGACAGCTGTCCTTGTCAGGCCCTCCGTCCTGCATCAGGGGAGATTGATGTAGACCTATTACTATTATGCATAATGACTGATGTGTGGGATATGTTACGTAGTCATGATTCATCTTACCCACACCCCATTCATAAAATATTTTCTCTGCAGATTTAGGCTATTATATATGTCAATTTCTTTTTTGTAATTGAACCACGTCCGACGGTCCGAGGCCCAGTCCACCCCTTGACAGGCCTACGTACTTACAAACTTGTAAACACATCTTTCACAACTTCTTTAGTTTTGTTCACTTAAAGCCTACCCACAAGATGCAATAACAGAAATCTACATGGGACTTCATTATCAACTACATGTAAATAACATTAAAAAAATAAAAATCAAAATAAATACATTTCCTAATAACTTCACCCAACCATTTTTTGAATCCCTAGTTGTACGTAACAAGGAGTAGGGTTGCCTGTCCAACCTCGTGGGTTTTCTCTGGGTCCTCTGGTTTCCTCCCACTGCTAAAGACCCCTACGCGCAAGCGAATTATTGAAATAAAAATTAAAACCATATGTTAGCCCCGATTCTCCCTTGTCAGTGATGCAGGACGGAGGGGCTGACAAGGACAGCTGTCTAGTCATTCGGATGGGACGAAAAACTGAGGTCCCGTGTACTCATTGGCGTGCACGTAAAAGATCCCTTGACGGTTGGAATTCGATATAAGAGTAGGCCGTAGTGCCGCTGTCCGGGCAAAATTTCCCTCATAGCACACTGTATGGCGTATGCCCGTCTCCATTAGCCCAGTTCGGAGCAAAACAGTAGGACGTTAAACCCCATTTCATTTCATTTCATGTTAGCCCCGAAATGACCTAGTTTGTGTCGAGTGGACGTTAAACCCCATTTCTCTCTCCCAGGTCCCAACCATTTTGTAAGGTACCCAAGTCCCAACCCTTTCATGACATTTGTGTCACACTGCCAGTCACAGGATCAAAATGTGTTGTTTTATTCAAAATACATGGTGTTGTGTGTAATTAAAGGTGTTTTGGGTAAAACCTATGGTTTCACTATTGATGTCTTACGTCTTGCTCCAGCCACAGTAGTGGACTGTCCTAAGGCCTTCCTTTGAGCAAGTTTTGTAGTCATCTGACTAAAAAAAGTTACTGGCCTATAACTCCCTTAATTTCCATTAACACTGACCCCATTAACATATAAAAACCAATTCCCATTGAAATAAAGGTGAAACCTTACCGTATAATTATATGATTTGATTAAACCCAACTCCTATGCAAAATTTCTGTTCGGTTTAAAATGGCTGCCGAACCAGAATCACAGGCTGTCATGTCACTCGAGAAACTGTTCGGTAAGATCAGATTATGATTTCAGTGTTCCACTCTTCACTATTTGTAACAAAATTACTTATTTCCATGCAGACTGTGAAGATATGGTGTTGAAAATTTTGCATTGAACCTAATTTTATTTGTTCAAAGACTTGAATAGTGTATACTGTATCACGGCTAAAAATTGCAGCTAGGGTAAAATCTATGGATCCCTTCTAATTACTATGCTAAGTACAAGTATCAGTTTTGTCAATGGATTGATACATGTAATATCGAATTTAAAGCGAGAATTTCATATTTTCTAAGAAAGTCAAAACATAATTTTTTCTATGTCTTTTGCTCAATAGGTTGTCAACTCATTATCATACGATCATAGGTATCATTTTAACACTTAAAAATCATTCACCCCGGAAATAATAACACAATTACCTCCCTTGTTTTTCTATTCCCCCCATGGAAATGAAATGAAATGGGGTTTAACGTCCTACTGTTCTGCTCCTATACTGGGCTAATGAAGACGGGCATACGCCATACAGTGTGCTACATTGAGGGAAATTTTGCCTGGGCAGCGGCACTATCGCCTACTCTTATATCGAATTCCAACTGCCAAGGGATCTTTTACGTGCATTCTAATGTATACACGGGACCTCGGTTTTTCGTTTCATCTGAAGGACTAGACAGCTGTCCTTGTCAGGCCCTCCGTTCTGCACCACTGACAAGGGGAAACCACGTCGGAAAATCAAGATGAACTTTCTTGGCCAATACAGGGATCGAACACCCGACCTCCAGGCTAGCGAGCCAGCGTCTTAACCACCTAGCCACCGTGGCTTCCAATTCCCCCCATGGAATAGCTATCTTCAAAGTTGAAGTTGAAAATGATATTTTTGCCAATTTCTCAACTGGCAATAGTGAATTATAGGATTATTCTTTAAAAGGTAGGACTGTTTATATATACCATCTATTTTAAGGCTTTGTTTTAATACATTTTAAAAATATCACTTAAAAATATGAAATTATCACTTTAAAATACTATTTCCGCCAATATCAAGATTAGTTAGAATATTTTTTAAATAAAAAAAACAAACAGACAGGGAACTGTCTCTGAATCTGATCGGACAATGTCCGCTGACAGTTCCTATCATTTTCTATATAGCAGCAATATGAAAATATGGTAAAATACTGCTCTTCCATACCTCTGTTCTCAGGCTATTTTGGAACCCTTACCTTCTATTTTTCACCGTGAATATTTATACATGTATTTCGCAAAAGGAATCATTTCTCATCAAACCTGACACAAATTTATAATAATTCAACACTTTGTTCAAGTAGAATTTAGCGACATAATAACCATGCGGTCTAGGCATGTTCGAGTCTCGTAATGGCTGGTCTGTTGAAATGTATTTTGTGTATATTTTAATCGCAAAATTCTGCTTGAAAATAGTGTTGAATTATTGCAAATGTGTGTCAGCTGTAGCAAGAAATGATTCATTTGGCATCCTTTGGTAAGGATTCCAAAATAGCTTTAAACCAGAGGTGGAGATGAGCGGTATTTTCATATTGCAGCTATATATACATGTAGAAAGCGACAGGAACTGTCAGCGGACATCGTCAGATCAGAGAAAGTTCTTAAAGTAACTACAAATCCGCTAGTCCTTTGATTGCTTTTTTGTTTACATTTAGGCCTATATAGCAGTCTACTCTACTACTATTACTTACAGGTAAAAAAACACTCATCTTCAAAATGTCTTGAGCACATAGTGAGTCGGTTGATGTTGACCGGATCCGCTCTAGTTGATTTTATGATGTGTAATAGTTCTGATTTCCACTCAGGGTTGTTGGTTGGAAGTCGATGAAAGGAGAGGCCACGATTTCTTGAGTTGCAGGCGGAGCATCCAACAAAAACACAATTGCTTCCCGGCATTTTCACAACAACCAGAAATAGCAAATGCAAACTCCAATCTTTTGGGTTAGTACTAAAAATTAAGGCCTCATGCAGATTTCCTCACTGTCAAGAGATGTAAATAGGGCTAGGGTCCATCCACAATCTTCTGCACCATCACCACTCGCCTTAAACCTGTTTACATCTCGTGTCGTCGTGACCTTGAATGCTTGATAAAAAAAAAAACCAACCCAAAAAACATTTATAATTATATTATAATTATACTGTCCGAGTTAATTCTGCCAACCTTGTCAACTAGAATCAGAGAACAATCTACTGTCATTAACACCTAGATATAGTTTAAATTGGTTCTAACTTGGGATTTAAATACGATTTTTCGATCAGAAATTAAAATGATGTTTGGGTTGAGAAGTTTGTTTCTCTTAGACAATCATTTCCGGCGGAGCACGTATTAGGATATATACGAATTTTGGTCGTGGATCCCACCCACGATGTGCGTTAAAGGACAATAATTGCGTCTGTGTGTCGCCTACAGGCCACAAATATAAAGTGATCATCTTGAAACTTTACATACTTATTCCTTATACCCTAAGGATGAAGCCTATTGTTTTTAGTGCTTGCCCGCCCAGGGGCAGAGCCAAGCCCATTTCTTGTATTTGTTTGTTTGTCGTCTTCAGACCGCATTTCTTAACGTATCCACTTCAAACTTTGCATACTAAGGATCATCACTATTGTTTTGGGTACATGCCCAACCCCCAGGGGCAGAGCCACGTCTATTTTCTTTTTGTAATCGATCGTCTTCAAAACTTGGGGAATTATTATGAATAGCGCCCCTACATTATGAGAACGGGGGAAGCAGAAAGAGAGAATTATTATGAATAGAGTCCCAACATTTGTAGCACTTTGGCCCTTGAGACAATTTTGGGTCTTTATAAAATTGTCTCTTCAATTTTGTCTATAAAGTAAAATCACACGTACTTAATAAACGTGGATATAGTTATTCGTAAAAAAAACCCAGTGATATTTTGGTCAAATTATAATCATTGTCAAAATAGTCATCAAATTCTGGCTGTTTATTGACCTATGGTACCTCTGTTAGTGGTGGGAAATAAACAAGTTTATTACGTATTTTCAATGGAAAAGTACCAAGGACCTGCCGAAATGAGATAGGTATAAATTGAAGGGTTGAAGTGAGTTTTAACTAGACTCTCACCAGATTATTCCAAGAAGCCATTATGTATTTGAGAACGAGGAACCTGCAAAGTTATTTCCAGTTTACCAATAAAGCTGTGAAACTATTATCACTGTAGTATTATTTACGATCACAAGGAAACACAACAAATAAAGAAGCCCGTAGTACTATACATTATCAGAAGGTGAGTGGGGAGAAAGAGAGAATCTTCTTATTATAAACAGGGCCACCTACATAGAACGGGAGAAGGAATTACTAGTCTTAATCCAGATGTGGATGGAAACTCAAAGGAAGTTCTTCTTGTATTTACTGTGCCATGTTTGTTTTTTTTCCTGGATACCTACCCATATAATTCTGTCAGTCGTAGAGAACAAAATAGATAGAGAAAGATGAGTTGATTATTATTATTACTGTAGATCGAAGTATTAATGTCTGTGTATTAATCGCATTCAGTTCCCCATAGCCTCTAAATTTTAGCCACGTGCACGTTCTGTTCTTGAGAGTAATCTATCTGTTCTGTATTTTTAAACATTTCAACATATTACATTGTTTTTGTCTCCTGTGGTTCAAATTGAAGTCGGACTGTATAGATATGCACGTATACCACTAAATCCATATCTGACAACTTTTGTTTTAAGTTTATGGCAAATAAATATATTGGAAAAGTTCGCCAAAATTACAAATATACTTGCTGGTAACTGAGCATGTGTGTGTGTGTGTGAGAGAGAGAGCGAGAGGGGGGGGGGAGAGAGAGAGCCGGGAAATCGAAAGACAGACTTAATCATATTATTAATATGGTCCTGTATTTCTTATACATATTATATACTATATTTGGGCTCCGTTTTACTTATGTATATCAGTGATTGTACCCCATTAAAAACTGTATTCTATTAACTTGTTTCCCGATCCTTAATGCCAATTAAAGATTATATCTATATTAAATCTACCTGGATCTGTTGAATAGTGTATATTAGATACATTCATCTTTCATAAAAATACTGAGATTAATATCTTGCAATGATACAGTTTACTTCTTACATTTTCTTAAGACGTTTGTCTTACCAGGAATAACAATGCAACAGTTTGCTTCTACATTTTATCTATATATATAGCTGAATATAGGTATACAAGCATAGCACAAATTACAATACTATATAGCTAAAACCATTTCTCTACCCTAGCCAGCCTCGCGGCTGTCTAGGAACTCAGATGGATCCTCTCTGGAATCTACTGGAAGTCTGACTTGAAAGGTTCAAATAGATAACTTATATAGCACCCACGTTTATCACGCAGAAATAAGCGTGTTCATGGCCCTGAACCTGTGCAATTAACGATATGATTGATTACTTTAAGCTAAATGATGCAATTAGAATAATTCCGCTCACGTGTAATCTCGGGGTATTTTATAAACACCAGTTTTGGTTAAATAGCTCTTTTTATGTAACAATATGTCAATTACAGACTAAGTTGATTTAGTACAATTCCACATATTTGGGAATATACCAACTTGCCAAAGATATTAATTAATGAAATATACTGCCATCATTAATTTCAAGAGCAAAAATTCTAGCAATATTATTACATTCGTCCCTCTGTTAAAGACTTTTTGCTCGGTATTAGGTAGAGTTATATAAGTATTCATAAATGTAGCAGAAATCTCGAAAATCGACATATATAATTATCACCTTCCCGTCTTCTAAGATTTATGCAAAATGAAGAGGTAGGAGACTCTTAAGAACTGCCATGTACTAAACCCTATAATTATTCATGCATCAGGCAAATATAAATGATTACTATACCATAAAACAAAGCTATGAAAGAAAACCCAAATAATCAAAAATCAAAAGTTAAAAGTTGCATGCAAAAGTTCTCCAAAAAGTTCATCACTGTAAAAGCCTAAACACAGAAAACACAAATTGTCTTTTTTAAATCTTCAAGTGTCCTAATTTCAAAACACTATAATACATCACGTAATATTTATAAAGTTCAGGTTTCACTTTAAATTCTGTCTCAGGAAATGTCAATTTGGTAAACTGGTGAACCATTTCTCCTTCTTGGATTTGTATTGGTTTGTTTCAGCTACCATAGTGTCAAGTTGAAACTTTCTTTTTTTCTTCTTCTAAGTATGATTGGTTTGTACAATTTTATCCGTCAATCAAACATGTCATTGCCATCAGACCAAGAACTATTGTTTTAAAACTTTATTTTGATATTAATCTAACATTATTATTTCAAAAAATTATTTGTAAATCTTACTCCTAATTAAAATTAACTTTATTTAAGTATTAATAAACTTTGATGTGTCCCTTTAATTATAAATTTCAAACTAATTTTGACCTCTTGACCTTATCCCAATATACAATTTTATAATTTCCGTTTCTGTTTTAGAATTCCGTCATTATTATTTTATATTTCTCAGTCAGTAATGTACGTGACCTTTTTAACCTAATCATTTACAATTTTGTATTTCGTTTTGACTACTATTTCCTTTTTTTTTACATGTCAACCAAACAAATATAATGTCATCGTACGCCAGTGAATGTCTAAAACAAGCAGGGTCTTTACCTATTCCAACACTAGTGTGACATAACATCAGTGGCGGATTAAGCTCTACCAAGGCCTGAGGCGGCAGTTGCTGGAGGGCCTATTTAGTTTTTAAAGTTAGGGCCAAGGTAGTTGCTAACATTAAAAACGTAATGTAACTTTATATGCCCATAAATGACGTCACGTGGATACAATATATTAAGCAAGACATAAACGAAAACTTACAAGGATTTAACGTACATTGTAGGCCTACGTTTAAAAAATAAGATCAGATCTCCAAACAATAGGGCCTATTTAAAATGGCGTGGGCCTAATTAATTTCGGGTCAGGGCCTATGTTGATTCCCATTGGGTCTAAACCCCACCCCCTAACATTCATTGTCTATGCGTTTTTAATCGTATTAGACAAGTCTAAAAAAATTTTTTTTACAAAATCTTTGGGCCTGAGGCTGCAGCCTCATCAGCCTCACTGATAATCCGCTACTGCATAACATTATCGAGAATGTCAATCAAATATGGCCAGTATATGAATGACATTCCACTTTATCCTACAGTAGGACGCTAAACCCCATTTTATTTAATTTATCTATAACTATGTTGAGAGAAAATGACTGTACACTCTATTCAATCAGAACACAGTCCATATTTATATAAACATTACATAGAATAGAACTTTGTTGAAGGAAATGGTTGCGCACCCATTCCCCCCAAACACCATTCTACTTTTTATAAACATGACAGTCAGAATGTACCTAGGTTTTAATTACACATACAGTTAACTATATCCTATATATTAAGGCATCACTTGACTTTTACACACGTCAAATTTAACACAGTGTTAGAACCTATTGTTTATAATAATCCGACCTAATGTCAAATTACACATTCTACCATCTCGTGTCGACAGCTTAAAGCAATAAGCAGTATATATTAAACGTTAATATTACGTTTCTAAATTACATAAAATTATATACGGACAAAATCTACCGTATACCTACACTTTTCTAAAAAAAAGTACATACACTTTAACCTCCTATAAAACTCGTATTAATGACTTTGCGATAATCTCACAATTTAACGAGCCGTTAATTTTAGTTTTTCTCCAGGAAAACTATAAACTACATCCCTATTTGAACCATATGGGATTTTCAACATAACCTAACTTTTTAATCAAAAGTTAAATTACAACAACTCTAAGGCCTGGACTAAGGGCCTTAAAATTATATAGTATACGAAACAACAAAAAACACAAATTAACGAATCACAGTAGAAAGTACGGCCATCTTGAAAACTAGAGTTAATCACTCACAAACGTCATCCTTATATCTGCCGTATTCCCTCTGCGATCCGGAGACAACATTAGTTCCTTACTTTATTCCCTATTCCGTTTCCTTATCATTATTATTTGTCCTTAGTTTTATCAAAAAAAATTTTTTATTTTTTAAACCTACGCCCTAGAGACCCTCACTTTAACTTAAATTTTGTTACTCAAATTTCCTACAGGTCATGTTAACCTGATAATATACACACCTAACCAGTGATATTATATTGCTTAAACATGCATTATACAAGAGCTAAATCTGATTATTGCAAGTCTTAATTTAGGCTTCAGATGTTATAGAAATTATAAATTAGATCTTTATTTAAACAAGACCAAAATCAACTCTGTAGACCCACGGA